CCTGCAATATTTCTTCTTGCGCAGCCATGCGCATGGGCTCCGACGAACAAGGACTAGTGCCGGGAGGACGCCTGTCGCGGCTCGCTTTCAATAACACCTCGCATTATTTCTTCTTGCGCAGCAATGCGCAAAGTGTTGGACAAACGAGGACAACTGATTCCGAAAGGAAATACGACGCTGAAGACGATGAGCTACATGGCAAATGCGTGCAATCAAGTGAAATGCCCGAAAAATCCTTGCCGATTTTACTCGAACTGTACGTGAGTTCAAAAAATTGCCGCATCATGACGTATGTGGGCTCAAACGAAAGCTGAGGGCCTCAGCTACACGCTGCGCCACACGAGAAGGCCCTGCGCAGCTTCCGTGCAGCTACAGATCGATCTATGCATGCGCCTTTCCGTGGTGCCACGCATGTACGCGATTCAGCGTTAGCACTTTTTGACAGGTCGTGTCACGTGACTGAAGTGCCTAATATTACACTATTTACAGGGGCGTAGGAAGGTCTTCTAGTTCTACATTGCATATTGGTGCGACATAATATTATAAAGGCGGGGGAGGGGGGTTCCTGGGGCCATCAATTAGTTCACTGAATATGCTCCTTTACAGGTAAGCAGAGCCTCATGGTTGGCCTCAAGTCGATTTATGCGGTGGGGTGGGGGTGGGGACACGTTAGTTGCATTCATGTTACCCTTACTTGCAGTACTGACTTTAACCCCTTGAGCGCGGGGCTGTTTGTCAGTGCACCACGTAAGGGGCCGTCCGCAAATATCGAACGTTTTTCAACAAACGAATTATTTTAGTTTAGACCCAACCCCTCCCTCCCTCCCCCTCAGAACGTAAAAAAAGTTTGACATATGCATGCATAATACAACAAAAGTTGCAAGTATGTAACTGCTCCTATGGGCATGCACATGTATCAATGTTTTCTGAAACGAAATTGGTCAACCCCCTCCCACCCCATAACGAAATTATTTCGTTTCGTGAAAAAAGTTCGATAATTGTGGACGACCCCTAAGAAAATGGTCTTTTTTGAAAATTTTCAAACCTTGGCTATGTCAAGTCGTGAAATCTTTGGGAGCCACAACCACAGGCAGTGGTAGGTAGGACCCAGACCAGCACTCGACAACAAGAACAAAAGCGAAAATCGGCCAAGGCACGCCAGGCCGAGCGGCATACTCAGGTCGATTTTTGAGAAATTGCACCAATTGCGTGGTATGCGCGCGTAAAAAAGAGAAAAAAAGAGCTGTGCTGATCGCTGTACATCGACAGCTGGGTACTGAACCCGGGACCTCTCGTGCACAAGGCATAGACACTTCCAATCGGCTAACAGACCCGAAGACTGAAGATGTGGGCCATTAGTTTGTATATAAGCGCATGACGTACTAGTACGTCATCCGTGGGGCACTGTGTGGGTGTTATGACGTACTAGTACGTCATCCGCGCTCAAGGGGTTAATTAAGATTGAGAAACACAAAATTAATAATTCATTCATGCTGTAAATGTGCTGTGCGCTGCTGGTTCAGGGCGCTGTGCAACCCCAGACCTGCACTCTGCAGACACTGGGCTGCGTACTTGTGCATTGCATCGAGCAACCCCAAACCCGTTAGCACTGGACTGAACATATGTGTGTGTGTGTGCGTGCGCGCGCGCGTGTGTGTGTGTGTGTGGTGTGTGTGTGTGTGTGTGTGTGTGTGTGTGTGTGTGTGTGTGTGTGTGTGATGGTGCTATTGTGTGCATCAGGATAGCAAGATTGTGCTCTGCTAGAGTCCTGGTGGCCACTGATGTGTGTCAGGTGGGACATCAGCATCAGCCGGAACTACCCACGCCACAGTGATTGGTCATACTAGTGACAGTGATCGGAGACATTGTTGTTCTTATCCCAAATATGGATGGTGAGTGTGTGTCGCAACACCGTAACGATAGCCAAGCTCTATCAGTGCGCTTAAAGAGGAAGTTAAGGCAAAAATTAAAATTTCACCAGTTGTAGTCTTCGGGGTGCTGAGTCGAATGGTCTTGGTCCGAGAAAGCTGAGACGCTCCCTTCCTACTTGAATCCCAATCGAACTCGCGCACTTCCACCGAAACTGGGTGACTGCGCCCTACTAGATGGGGATTTGTATGCAAAATGTCACTAAAAGCGCCATTTCGTTCTTATAAAAGCACGGATGACCGCGATTGGCCCATATGTTGTAGTCTTTTGGACGCTGAGTCGACTGGTTTTGGTCCGAAAAGGCTGCGATGCAGCGTTCCTCCTTTATTCCCAATCGAACATGGTTGAACAAGCGGTCACGTGCTCCTGGTTGCCCAAATTACCTGGTCACCACGCCAGCAGGCGACAACTTTCACACCAAGGTTCAACTCGAGTGACAGGACTGCACCCAAAAAAGGTCAAACAGGCTAGTAAGTTGTACCCTGCAGGCACGGTGACCAGGTGACTGGCGTACGCAGGAGCACGTGACCGCTTCTTCAACCATGTTCGATTGGGAATAAAGGAGGAACGCTGCATCGCAGCCTTTTCGGACCAAAACCAGTCGACTCAGCGTCCAAAAGACTACAACATATGGGCCAATCGCGGTCATCCGTGCTTTTATAAGAACGAAATGGCGCTTTTAGTGACATTTTGCATACAAATCCCCATCTAGTAGGGCGCAGTCACCCAGTTTCGGTGGAAGTGCGCGAGTTCGATTGGGATTCAAGTAGGAAGGGAGTGTCTCAGCTTCCTCGGACCAAGACCATTCGACTCAGCGCCCCGAAGACTACAACTGGTGAAATTTTAATTTTTGCCTTAACTTCCCCTTTAACTATCCACAAAATAAGGAATTCGGGTGGACACACCCATTACCGTAGCGCTGGACATCCGAACCAGTTCCGTTATATCACGACGTTTCGTCACTTGCAACAATGAATGCCTGATTTCAGAGATGACGCTCCAGGAAGCCTCTGCCCTTACGGTGAAGTCTGTACGCCATAGTGGTTGTCTCTTGTACAGTCTCTCAGCGTCCTTACGCAGTGTAATACATGTATAGGTGGAATCCTCATAATTCGAATATGGCTTAATTCGAACATAGTGCTTAATTATTAGAAGTTTTCCAGGACCGATTTCTGTCAATACGATTCCCACATAAAGTTTCTGATAATTTGAACCTCGAACTGGACACGTCCGGTTCATTAGAAGTCCCACAGATTCCACTTACATAGAAAATGCATTGGATTTGTGCTGATAATTCGAAATTAGCAAAGTGTAATTCAAAGTTCACTGTACACTGTACTGGTCAACTCAGTTGAGCAGGCTGTGCCGGTCAGTTCAGTTGAGCAGGCTGTGCTGGTCAGTTCAGTATCCGTGAAATCTGTGTCTAAGGTCCATAGCGCTACTTTGGGGGGGGGGGGGGGGGATTCCACCTGCATTGGGTTTTGACAAAATAGGGCAGAGACTGAATTATGCTTTCCCATGGTATGACTTTTCTTCAAGTGCTCATGGGCTCAAATTTTGGTTAGAATTTTGAAGCAATAGGGGGTGAGACATTGTGCATGCAGGCGACATGACGTCTCGCTTACCATTCCCTGTGCCACCTGCATGATGTGGCAGATTTGAAGGACACTCGCAGCTGAAACCAAGAGTATAATATAAGCCCCCAAGAGTGTGCAACTGCTGATATCCTTTCTATGGGGTTCACCGACGGCGAAAACTCACATCACGCGGTGCAGTGTCGCAGTTATACGTTTCCAGCCTGTGTTTAGCGATCAGCGGTGTAATGAAAAACATTCTCTGACAGAAACTCACTGCGCGTATGCGAATCCCGAGCATGATCATGGCAGATATTCGGATTGCGCGCACGCTATCCTTCATCTGTACGTAGTACAAAACGTACCTGAGAAACTGATGTGAGTTTTCGCCGTCGGACATCCCATATGCAGAGTTGCACACTCTTGGGAGGTTATAATTTACTGTAAAAGCAGAAATATTCGTCTGGAATTTAATTTCGTCTTTTTCGTCCAAGGAGCTTTTGGACTAAATTAAATGCCGGACTAATGTCGATTTGTCCAGCTTTTCAATACACTCTTATAATCCATGGACGAAATTTACAACCGGACGAACTCCCTTTCTTTGGAGTTGGACGAAATTATTGACCGACGGAATTTTCTTCCTATACATGTACAGTATTTATAGTCTTGCTGCAACTGGCAGGGCGTTGAGGTGTTTATAAGTCTTGATCTCTCTCATTCTGATCTTGTCCGCTATCGTTGCTATAAGAGAAAATCTGTGGGTGCACATGCAGTGCATTTTCAGATTTGCGTGCTTCTCTTGCGACGCGCGTATACATCGTACTGCACAGGCAGAAAATTCCGTCGGTCAATAATTTCATTCAACTCCAAAGAAAGGGAGTTCGTCCGGTTGTAAATTTCGTCCATGAATCATAAGAGTGTATTGAAAAGCTGGACAAGTCGACATTAGTCCGGCATTATTTTAATTTAGTCCAAAAGCTCCTTGGACGAAAAAGACGAAATAAAATTCCAGACTTTGGCCACACCTGCCGCACCGGTTCCGATGCCCCTGCAAGCGGTCCGTCGTATCGCTGCGGGGCCCGGCGAGTCAGTTGTAAGCCTGTTCAATGCACAGGCTTGTGTTCATCAGAATCGGGCGCTCGCAAGTCTGTAGAGCTGCATGATGGATCAAGTCAAGTCCAGGCCAGGCCTGTTCCTAGTGTCGGATGGTTCTACTCAAGCAGTGTTAAGCCCAACACTGCTTTTGCACGGCTTGTCAATAGCTTCAGACTTAGGAACGGAATGTATGGAGTTGTGGTCACATCTTGGTCATGTGACTGAATTTGTGCAGAAAATGATCATGTCATGTGACCAGCGGAACCAACATGGCCGACGTCTTGTGACCCATAGATGCAGGAGTTGAGTGGAATTGAACCCAACATGCCTATCCCGTACGGTCATGTGATAGATGTGAAACCATTCTGTTTCTCTATGTGTGTGTTGTGCCAACATTTTCAGACGAGTCTCTCGTCCAACAGCTCTCTGACAGGACAGGATGGGAGAGTGGCGTCTTCAGAAAACTTGTGCCTGACCTGGTTTCCATGCTTACTCCTGCTGCTATGCTTCGCCAGTGTGAGGCTGAGGAGCTGATTACGTTTGACCAGCGTCAGCTATTTGCAACATACCCTGGCCCTGCAGCGCAGAATGAGGCATTGCTCGATGCACTACGCCTGGGTGATGACGCATCCTTCCACACCTTCCTTGAATGCATCCGTAAAGTCGAGCCACCAGCCAGCGCGAGAAGGTTATTGGCCAAGCTGGAACCCGTCGACAAATTCCGCAGCACTGCTGAGGCCGCATCAGCGTCTGCAGGAGCATCCGCTGCTGATCCAGTGGGTAAGTAAAGAGCAGTAGGCTGTACAGGCAGAGGCCAGTTGGGACTTTTGCAGCTCCATAGTTTTTTTCCGTAGTTTTGGCAGCCCAGCTGGCATCAGGCCGGTCTGAAGGCTTGAAGTAGCTACCTAGCAAGCAGTAGGACTAGGAGGAGTAGTGCGATGGCAGTAGGGCAGTGTAGTGCGATAGGGGTAGGGCAGTGTAGTGCGATAGGGGTAGGGCAGTGTAGTGCGATATGTGTAGGGCAGTGTAGGGCGATAGGGGTGGGGTAGTGTAGTGCGATAGGGGTAGGGCAGTGTAGTGCGATAGGGGTAGGGCAGTGTAGTGCGATAGGGGTAGGGCAGTGTAGTGCGATAGGGGTAGGGCAGTGTAGTGCGATATGTGTAGGGCAGTGTAGTGCGATAGGGGTTGGGGAGTGTAGTGCGATAGGGGTAGGGCAGTGTAGTGCGATAGGGGTAGGGCAGTGTAGTGCGATATGTGTAGGGCAGTGTAGTGCGATAGGGGTAGGGCAGTGTAGTGCGATAGGGGTAGGGCAGTGTAGTGCGATAGGGGTAGGGCAGTGTAGTGCGATATGTGTAGGGCAGTGTAGTGCGATAGGGGTAGGGCAGTGTAGTGCGATAGGGGTTGGGCAGTGTAGTGCGATAGGGGTAGGGCAGTGTAGTGCGATAGGGGTAGGGCAGTGTAGTGCGATAGGGGTAGGGCAGTGTAGTGCGATAGGGGTAGGGCAGTGTAGTGCGATAGGGGTAGGGCAGTGTAGTGCGATAGGGGTAGGGCAGTGTAGTGCGACAGGGGTAGGGCAGTGTAGTGCGATAGGGGTAGGGCAGTGTAGTGCGATAGGGGTAGGGCAGTGTAGTGCGATAGGGGTAGGGCAGTGTAGTGCGATAGGGGTAAGGCAGTGTAGTGCGATAGGGGTAGGGCAGTGCAGTGCGATAGGGGTAGGGCAGTATAGTGCGATAGGGGGAGGGCAGTGTAGTGCGATAGGGGTAGGACAGTGTAGTGCGATAGGGGTAGGGCAGTGCAGTGCGATAGGGGTAGGGCAGTATAGTGCGATAGAGGTAGGGCAGTGTGGTGCGATAGGGGTAGGGCAGTGTAGTGCGATATGTGTAGGGCAGTGTAGTGCAATAGGGGTAGAGCAGTGTAGTGCGATAGGGGTAGGGCAGTGTGGTGCGATATGTGTAGGGCAGTGTAGTGCGATAGGGGTAGGGCAGTGTAGTGCAATAGGGGTAGGGCAGTGTAGTACGATAGGGGTAGGGCAGTGTAGTGCGATAGGGGTAGGGCAGTGTAGTGCGATAGGGGTAGGGCAGTGTAGTGCGATAGGGGTGGGGTAGTGTAGTGCGATAGGGGTAGGGCAGTGTAGTGCGATAGGGGTAGGGCAGTGTAGTGCGATAGGGGTAGGGCAGTGTAGTGCGATAGGGGTAGGGCAGTGTAGTGCGATAGGGGTAGGGCAGTGTAGTGCGATATGTGTAGGGCAGTGTAGTGCGATAGGGGTTGGGGAGTGTAGTGCGATAGGGGTAGGGCAGTGTAGTGCGATAGGGGTAGGGGCAGTGTAGTGCGATATGTGTAGGGCAGTGTAGTGCGATAGGGGTAGGGCAGTGTAGTGCGATAGGGGTAGGGCAGTGTAGTGCGATAGGGGTAGGGCAGTGTAGTGCGATATGTGTAGGGCAGTGTAGTGCGATAGGGGTAGGGCAGTGTAGTGCGATAGGGGTTGGGCAGTGTAGTGCGATAGGGGTAGGGCAGTGTAGTGCGATAGGGGTAGGGCAGTGTAGTGCGATAGGGGTAGGGCAGTGTAGTGCGATAGGGGTAGGGCAGTGTAGTGCGATAGGGGTAGGGCAGTGTAGTGCGATAGGGGTAGGGCAGTGTAGTGCGATATGTGTAGGGCAGTGTAGTGCGATAGGGGTAGGGCAGTGTAGTGCGAAAGGGGTAGGGCAGTGTAGTGTGATATGGGTAGGGCAGTGTAGTGCGATAGGGGTAGGGCAGTGTAGTGCGATAGGGGTTGGGCAGTGTAGTGCGATAGGGGTTGGGCAGTGTAGTGCGATAGGAGTAGGGCAGTGTAGTGTGATATGGGTAGGGCAGTGTAGTGCGATAGGGGTAGGGCAGTGTAGTGCGATAGGGGTTGGGCAGTGTAGTGCAATATGTGTAGGGCAGTGTAGTGCGATAGGGGTAGGGCAGTGTAGTGCGATAGGGGTTGGGCAGTGTAGTGCGATATGTGTAGGGCAGTGTAGTGCGATAGGGGTAGGGCAGTGTAGTGCGATAGGGGTAGGGCAGTGTAGTGCGATAGGGGTTGGGCAGTGTAGTGCGATAGGGGTAGGGCAGTATAGTGCGATAGGGGTAGGGCAGCGCAGTGTGTGTGTGTGTGTGTGTGTGTGTGTGTGTGTGTGTGTGTGTGTGTGTGTGTGTGTGTGTGTGTGTGTGTGTGTGTGTGTGTGTGTGTGTGTGTGTGTGTGTGAAACTGTTTTGTGTGTGCATGTATGTGTGCCCTGCACTTGTGCGTGCACACGTATTCTGACATGCGTGAATGTTTTGCTGTCCAGTCAAGCGCGGGGCCCAGCAACAAGCAGAGTGAGTATAGTGTTGTCTGTTGCTGAATAACTGGGGGGGGGGTCAGCCTCGTAGCCTAGGCCGTTCCTATTTTCATGTTTTACAGTCAATGCACAGTTGAGTCACCGTGTATACATCGGTATGCTGCGGTTGATGAAATGCTAGGCTGGTCGTTCTTCGGCGCTCCATTCCTCAACACCCGATAGCAGTGTATTATTAACGCACGAAACTATAACAGTCGGTCATGGTCTGGAGAATATGAAGAAAAATTCAAGTGACTTTAAAAAGATAAGGAGATAGCTGGCAACTTACAAGTAGATCAGAGTCGTAGTGTGTATTATATTAAATATAAGTTTCCGTGCATGGCACGGTAAGTGAAGTTAGCAACCCACCAACAATTACATTCCTAACATAATTTGCACGTACTTGCCATAGCGCATCACGTGCCCGTGCAGAACACGCACTCCGAACTCCCGCGCCCCGGCACGGGACCACGCGGAGCATGCGCATTACTCCGGCTCTCGATGCTGCTTCTTCTTCATCCTTGCTGCGCCAACAGTCAGATCGCTTGACAACCTTGGCCAGTTTTTGAGCTTGCTCTTCGCTTTGCTGTGCTGACGGTCAAATTGTTTGACTATCGCGGCCAGTTTCTGATCAATATCCGATCAACCAGGTCTCTGTCAGTGAGCGATGTCCAGCCATAACGCTCTTTGCTTTGCTGCCTTGACGGTCAAATTGTTTGACAATCGCGGCCAGTTTCTGATCAATATCCGATCAACCATGTCTCTGTCAGTGAGCGATGTCCAGCCAAAATGCGCTCTGCTGAGCTGCGAAACGCACTGGCATCCCGCAATTATTTAGACCCGACAGGAACAAAACCTACTCCGCGGACTCGCCTGCTCGAGTTGAAGTTGGCTCCAGACTACTGTACGCGAGGACTTGGCCGCTCCGGCAGCGGAGCAGAACCTAGCCGAGGCAACTGCAGCCCCATCCCTGGCCTGGGAGACTTTAGTCGGGAGGAGGTTCGCGACGCTTGGAGCACGTATTGTGCGACTGACGCAGCAGCACACCCCTCCAGGGCCCCCGGAGCTGTTTTCGCACCAGCCCATAATCTTGAAGATGGCTCGGAAATTTAGGTCCCTGATGCTGAGCTCTCCTCTCTAAAGCTGACACGAAGTATGCCTGGCGGCTTTGGTCTGTTTCCCCTCATGTCTGGCCCCGGCTTGGCATTTTTTGGAAGGTTTGTACCATGTAGATAAGGCACCACCATTTGGCCGTAGATCCTCCCCCTTCCGTTCAACAGACCGGCTGATGTGGACTCTCAGCCCAACGGCGACTCTGCAATGATCCTGCTAAGTCTCTTACTCGTCTTCGAGTACAGCGCTTCCGGACTCTCAGCCCATCTACCGACGCAGTGCTGACACACCCTGCACAGTCCACCCTCCAGCAGTTGACGACGCAACCATGAACCTCATCCGCCAGGGCCTGGCGGCCAGTTCCAGCATAACATGCGCTTCGCTGCCGCGCTCCGAACACTTGTCGCCCTGCGCCAGGGCAAGCCACACTCAGGGACTGATCAGTGCCGGCAGCATTGTTCCAGATCCTGTACTTTGAGTGCATTGCCCACTGTGCTAATGGCTAGCCGCATTGGACGGCACTCACATCAAATGCAGTGTAATAGTAATGCAGATAAACCCTGTTTGGGTCAGGTTGTCAGCGCTGCCGGACTCGCATCCCAACTGCCGAAGTGGTGCCGACACAACCAGCGCAGTCCACCCTCCAGCAGTTGACGACGCAACCATGGACCTCATCCGCCAGGGCCTGGCGGACAGCTCCAGCATGGCATGCGCTTCGCCGCAGCACTCCGAACGCTTGTCGCCCTGCGCCAGGGCAAGCCAACCTCAGGGACTGATCAGTGCCGGCAGCATTGTTCCAGATCCTGTACTTCGAGCACATCGCCCACTATGCTAATGGGCAGCCGCATTGGACGGCACTCACATAAATTGCAGTGTAATAGTAATGCAGATAAATCCTGTCTGGGTCCGGTTGTCAGCGCGCCTGGACTTGCAGCCCAACTGCCGAAGCGGTGCCGGCACAACCAGCGCAGTCCACCCTTCAGCAGTTGATGACGCAACCATGGACCTCATCCGCCAGGGCCTGGCGGGCAGCTCCAGCACAACATACGCTTCGCTGCAGCGCTCCGAACGCTTGTCACCCCGCACTAGGGCAAGCCATACCCAGTGACTGATCAGTGCCAGCAGCATTGTTCCATATCCGGTACGTTGAGCGCATTGCCCACTATGCTAATGGGCAGCCGCATTGGACGGCACTCACATCAATTGTAGTGTAATAGTAATGTAGATAAATCCTGTTTGGGTCAGGTTGTCGACGCTTCTGGACTCGCAGCCCAACTGCCGACGCAGTGCCGACACAACCAGCGCAGTCCACCCTTCAGCAGTTGACGACGCGGGCCGCAACTTTGGACGATCTGGCTGGCGTACAGCACTACCTGCAGTCCACCGTGCCTAGCCCGCACAACCGCGCCATGCTCTGGAGCGCCGTGACTCTGGCCTTCCACGGGCTGCTCAGAGTCAACGAGTACACCTTCACGGCACGGGGCGCCGGCCTTGAGTACAGCGATGCGACCATGTACCCAGACCGCGTGGAGCTGCGCCTGCGTGTGACAAAGACGAGCGAATACGGCAGCGGCCAGGACATTAGCGTCAGGAGGACAGGCTCGCCGACATGCCCGCACACGGCAGCCACCAGTTACCTAGCAGCCCGTGGCTCGGCACCTGGCCCGCTCTATCGCTATGATGACGGCACGCCCCTGAAGCCGCATAACATCAACAGGCTACTACAAACAGCCTTGCCTAACAAAGACGTGCGCAGCCACAGCCTCAGACGAGGCGCTGCAACGCTGGCAGGCAAAGCTGGCGTGCCTGAGTACGTGCTGAAGACCGCCGGCAGGTGGCAAAGCTCTGCCTACCCCCGCTATGTCCGCACCCCTGTCGCAGACAGAGCATTGCCAGCGGCATTGTTCTAGTCTCTGCCCGTTATGCTAATGGGTAGCCGCATTGGACGGCCCTAGCAACAGCTGTAGTGTACATATGATATACCTATTATACTATAACTATAGTAACGCTACTATAACTATAGTAATGCCGATAATTCCTGTTTGGGTCATGTTGTATTTTGGGAGAACAGTAGGGATCGTGGGTCAGGCCGGCATTGAGCCAAGTGCGCCTACATGTGCTCACAAGTGCATCCCTACCGTATGCGTGTATTGACACGCCGGGCAATTGTTGCCCCCATTAGCCCTGGCATTGGCCAGTCTAACGCACATTGGTGCTTGCGATACTACGGCATTGGTCCATAGTATTGCATACTGCATGCGGCAATTGTTGCCTGCGATACTACGGCATTGGTCCATAGTATTGCATACTGCATGCGGCAATTGTTGCCTGCGATACTACGGCATTGGTCCATAGTATTGCATACTGCATGCGGCAATTGTTGCCTGCGATACTACGGCATTGGTCCATAGTATTGCATACTGCATGCGGCAATTGTTGCCTATGCCCTGATAATACAACGCGTACTAGCTCCCAAACAGGTCGGCTTGTGTGGTTGTTAATTATCATTTTACTTTGGCATTCCCAACAGAGCCCAAGGTCTTCTTGCAGTGTGCCCAAGATGTGTGTCTTGGTACAGTGGTTAGTGCTTGTTATCCAAGTGCGATTACGAACATTTACATGTACAGTGCGTATCGGTTATAGTGTGGTCGTATACAAGAATATACTGCCTACAAGAATGAACACTCATTTTTTCATAATCATAACACCTATTTTATGTGTATATTTATTCTTACAAGCAGTATTATCGCATAGTAGAATATATCGGCCCTAAGAATGGATTTTGTGTAGCAAAATATGCCAGATTAGTGCAAAATGTATCGCCTGTAGTAATAACATCTGTGCTCTGTCCATGCTCAATACAATAATATTCAACACAAAAAGAGAGTTATGTCCAACTGAGTACTTTTTCTGTCCAGTCGGACTCTTTCTTCCGACTTCTCTCCTATCTGCTGCTCCGCAGTCGCCTAGCACGACCGCGAGTCTGATCCGTGTGTATCATGATTGTGTAGACCTACATGATTGTACGTGTCCACATGCCAAACATGTATTATGTCACACGTGCATATGATATGTCACACGTGATTTATCGTGTGTAAGAAATATCGGCAATAAGAATCAAATGTCGTTTTTCAAACACCCACGCTATAACCGATACCTACTGTACATACAGTCGGATCACTTGGTTGTAATGCTCCATCAGGCAAACGCAAACTAGGTCGTGGTAAAGAAGAAGAAAATAACGTCGATGCTCCACTTCTCCACCACGTGTCTGTCAAACTTGTTGCGAATGAGACGTAAATTTTTGAACTTATTCCATTCACGAATTCTTGCATCCGGCATCAGCTTGAAAGGTCTTCATTTCTAGCAAATACCGTAAAAGCCCCTGTATACGCCCACTCGAAATTACGCCCACCCTCCGTGTACACGCCCAGTCAGGGGAAGTCAACACTTTTGTTTCAAAATAGCGCCCATACCTATGTATACGCCCAGGTATGCCGGCAACACCAGTACATGCACAGGTGCTGATACCCAATACTTACTGCTATCCTTATTTCAAGTATACGCCTGGTTCCAAAATAACGCCCGTGCCCTTGTATACGCCCAGGAAATCGAGGCTGCTATTCTATACGCTCGGGGCCTATACCCGGGCTTTTACGGTAGTTAATTTTACTTCAAAGTATCAACTAACACAAGGTGTTGTAGCACCTCTCCTATGATCTATCATTTAGTGCAGAGTATTTGCATTGAATTGTTTCACATTTATTACATGACAATATGGGGCAGCCATATTGGTTCCAACTCCACTCGACCCCTGGCGGTATGTACGGGTCACATTATGTCGGCCACGTTTGTTCCACTGTCCACATGCCAGGCGTGTGCGCTGGTGCCCTTCAAGGGGGGTTCCGGGGTCCGGGGGCCTCCCGCGGGAAAATTTTCAAAAAATGAAGCAAAATCTTGCATTTTGAGCGAAAAAGGGGGGTTCCGGGCACCCAGGAACCCATACGGGGCACGCGCCTGCAGGCCATGACCAGTTTGTGCACACATTTAGTCACATGACCAAGATGTTAACACCAGTCTATAACTGATTTTTACACTAGTATGCATGGTACAGTGAAACCTGTCTAAGACGACCGCTCAAGGGACCTTACAAATGTGGTTCCCGTGTACAGGTGGTCTCCTTATCCAGGGTCATTTGACTGGAAATCACATCCCTTGGTCCTATCTGTATTGGTCCACTAGGACAGCTGGTCGCCTTATCAGAGTGGTTGCCTTGACAGGTTTTTCTGTATTGGTTTCCCCGTCCTGCTACACTGCTTATACATGTAGTAGTGAGTTTGGGTGAATCTTCTCCTGCCCAGCATAATAATGATACTTAGCCATACTTTCATTCACACATGCACGCTAGCTCGCACGCTAGCTACTGTTGTAAAGGCACGCTAACTTACGAGCAACGCCATAGTGGTCACGCTGTGTGAGGACCATGCCAAGTGCATGAAAACTTGAACTGACATGCACAAGCAGTCACCCGTCATCTGTGTTTGTGTGTAGTCTGCCACTCAGGACTCAGCACTCTGGTGTTTGGAGCACCACTGTATAAGCAGAAATATTCGCCTGCAAATTACGCGGCGTCTTCTACGTCCAAGGAGCTTTTGGACTAAATTAAATGCCGGACTAGTGTCGATTTGTCCAGCTTTTCAATACACTCTTATGATCCATGGACGAAATTTACAACCGGACGAACTCCCTTTCTTTGGAGTTGGACGAAATTATTGACCGACGGAATGTTCTGCCTGTAAAGTATATCAAACTGCCTCTACTGGCAATGAATGCACATAACATTTTCATGCATCTTCAACCTCTTCTTGATGCTGATTAAAAATCCGATGTTGAGCCAATAGTGTTACTTTAAAAGAAAGAAGAAAGGGCCGATAAGTATACATCTCGTTACCTTGGTGGACTGTTAGTCATAACTCGTAACTTATAGGTCCGTTCTCTTTTCTCCTTTGTGCATTCTACTTTCAGTAGCGGAGCGGAGGCGCCAACGACAAAGGAACCCAAGAAGAAGTGTAAGTCTTGCAGCATCATGTGGTGCACTGTGTTATGCTGAGCGCTATGCTAGAGCAATATTGATGTATGGAGTGTGTTATTTTAGTTGAACCGATGTGTGTGTGTGGGGGGGGGGGGAGTGTGTGTGTGGTGAGTGTGTGCGTGCGTGCATGCATGCGTACACGCGCGCTTGTGTGTGTGTGTGTGTGTGTGTGTGCGAGTGCGCGTGCGTGCGTGTGCTTGTGTGTGTGCACGCAGATTGTTTTAGTAGTTTTGAGTACTGTCAGTATTACTCGCTCATGTAGTGGTTCATCTGACCAGCTACAAGCTCCTAGCTGGCACAATTTTCCAATTCTCACAGTGCTAAATGTGCTGTACACAGTACAGTGGTGAAACAAGCCAGGGGCATTGGAAGGTATCCTCAGTGGTATGGCTATTAAAAGACCCACGAAAAGGCACTCCACCTGGGAAAGGTTTTGGTAAATTATGCCAAATTAGCCTACTGTAAATCAATGAATTTTGGCCTGTGAGAAACTTTGGCCGATCTCGAATTGAAACTTTTTCGGCCGTCATCAAACTTTGGCCGATTGGGGTTTAGAAAGAAACGATCGGTAGGTGTTGCTTTCACATGCAGCCATGCCTCAATCATGCATCATTTCCCTCGGTGACAAACTTTGGCCTGCAACTTTGGCCAGTTGGTACCAAGCGGCGAAATCAGCGAAATGATATCGCCAGCGAAAATAAGTTGCTTTACAGTACAAGATTTCATTGCTCCAATAATCACTATTTAAACTTATTGTTGCGACTTTGGCCGCACCTGCCGCACCGGTTCCGATGCCCCTGCAAGCGGTCCAGCGTATCACTGCGGGACCCGGCGATTCAGTTGTTAACCTGTTCAATGCACAGGCTTGTGTTCATCAGAAGCGGGCGCTTGCACGTTTGCAGAGCTGCATGATCCAGGCCAGGCCTGTTCCTAGTGTCGGATGTTAGGGCACTCAACTCTCTCCTACACCAGGAGGATGGGGAGGGGGGCTCTTGTACAGGCTAATCCTGCATGGCAGAGTTACTTGCTATCTCTACTCTGCCAGCAGATCCTGCATTTCACCGTGTCGTCACCTAGCCATTCAGAACCTAATTTATTCTTCATATCGCGCTTTGGGAAACGCTTTGCAATGCGCCGTCGAAGCTTGATTCATTCTTCGTATCGCACTTGGGGAAACACTTTGCCGATATGCACTGCAACCACTGTGTGACGGCCGGTTATTAATAAGTCTAACTCCAGTGAGCTTTATCCTGAAGTTGTCATTATTCTGTGTTCAGTGTATCCTGCATGGCTGCTTGCATGCTCTTTTTCATTGGTGTTTATGCAGTCTATGAGAACCCATTCAAAGACCCCGACTATGTGGCGAAAATCGACGTGCCATTGAAAGATCTTGACGGTGTCGAGTTAAGGCGCAGTTTGCAGCCCAAGAATGTACTAACCCAGGATCAAGTGAAGAGGTTGGAGAAGATGTCGAGCGAAACGCATAACTACAACATGATCGGGTGGATTCAGTTGTCACGTCGCCGTGGATATGTTGCGCTGTGCGAGGTTATTCAGGAGTGGGGAGTTGAGCCAGAACTGTTGGAAGACATGAACAACCTGCTGCCACCCGAGCTTCGTGTGGGAAAAGGTACGCAGTCCCAGTCTGTCCATTGGAAACGTGCTCCTATGTCTTTCTAGTACATTCTACATGCTCGGAAAACACGTGCGTTTGGAGCCGAGAGACTTTCTGAGTCTCACTCCCTCGTGCACAGCCTGGTGTATATTATACAGATGTTTGTGTCTGTGCGGCTCTCCCCTATCCAAAGCAACCGCTTTGTTTCCACTTGGTTGCGAGTTGTTATTTCTCGCCAGTCTGTCCGCACATTACGCAATGCCAGTAGTAAAACAGTACATGAGTGTACACTGCTGACAGTCGAGAGGCTGGACGGCGTCGGGGATTGCAATAACTGTCTTTTTCCGGCAAAAAGATTCATAGGGCTGGCGGTGTAAGCGGCATTTTGACATGTTGCTTCTTGGAGACTATTCTGTTCTCCTGTCTGATAGCATTGTTGTGTCCTAGAAAACCGCTCATACGCATGCGTATAATTTATTATCGCATTGAGGGTCAAGCCTTTGGCTTTGTGCGGTATCCCTGGTAACGGGGCATGCCTGAAATTGTCGTCTCAGCTGTCAGTGAATGGGATTTTCGGTCTTTGACCACTTTGCTGGTGAGCTGATCTCCTCACCTCCCACCGCTTCGGGAGCTGCATCTGCGTCTTGACCCTTGAAGGGTGGTGGCGTTCCTACGGATGCGGAAAACTCGGCCTCTAGCCGAGTCTGACTCGAATCGTGAATTAAAAAAAAGAAATTTGCCATGCAGTGTACAGTATACATTGTTGTGTTGTTCACTTCATGGCTGTCCCGCTCTAATACTCAGTACAATGGTGGCGACTGAAATCCGACCCCAGCTCAGTGCACTCACATTGATTCCAAAAACAAACCTGCACACGTTTCTACACTGCCAAGAGACCGCTACTGTGTGTTCAAAAGTATTGACCTCTGGTTTCAAAAAAGAACCTTAAGTCAGCATTTATACCACATAATCTGTGATCATTTTGTGCATAACAATTTTCCGAAAATGGACGTGTGTTATCCAATCGCCTAGAAAGTTAGTAGGTTTCAAATTAAAATATGAGAAACATCGGGGGAGCTGCCACAGCAATATTCCGAAGAAATTTCTGAAAAAGCTCCAACCGAATTTGAATTATGTGAAAAAGTCTAGAGATCTATATTCTTGAAATGCACTATAAAATTGGAGCCGCACTCGAGCATGAAAGTCAGGGGTCGGATTTCAGTTGCCATCACTGTACAGTATAACCTGATTTAAGCGACCACCCCACGGTACCACGGTGCAAGCACCACCCCACGGTACCACGGTGCAAGCACCACCCCACGGTACCACGGTGCAAGCACCACCCCACGGTACCACGGTACAAGCACCACCCCACGGTACCACGGTACAAGCACCATCCCACGGTACCACGGTCCAAGCACCACCCCACGGTACCACGGTGCAAGCACCACCCCACGGTACCACGGTACAAGCACCATCCCACGGTACCACGGTCCAAGCACCACCCCACGGTACCACGGTGCAAGCACCAACCCACGGTACCACGGTGCAAGCACCACCCCACGGTACCACGGTGCAAGCACCACCCCACGGTACCACGGTGCAAGCACCACCCCACGGTACCACAGTGCAAGCACCACCCCACGGTACCACGGTGCAAGCACCACCCCACGGTACCACAGTGCAAGCACCACCCCATGGTACCACGGTGCAAGCAAAAGCGGCCGTTAAAGCCAGGTGGTCGTTAGAACCAGGTCCAACAGGTTCAGTGTAGATCTGTCGGTGCATGGAAAAACGGTCGTTAAGAGCAGGTGGTGGCTAAAACCAGAGGTCGCTTACACCAGGTTTTACTGTACATGCAGTACACAAAGTGTCTGTAGTCTTTGCTGCAAACACTGCTCAATACCTCAAAAAGGGGCAGAGCTTACCACACAGGGCAGAACAACAGAGACCAAAAATCCTTCTCGTGACTCCGAGTTTTGTGTTTCAAAAAACACTCATCAGACGAGTGTTTTTTGAAACACGAAACTCGGAGTCACGAGAAGGATTTTTGGTCTCTGTTGTTCTGCCCTGTGTACATACAGTACATGTGTGTGTGTGTGTGTGTGTGTGTGTGTGTGTGTGTGAGAGAGAGAGAGAGAGAGAGAGAGAGAGAGAGAGAGAGAGAGAGAGAGAGAGAGAGAGAGAGAGAGAGAGAGAGAGAGAGAGAGAGAGAGAGTGAGTGAGAGAGAGAGAGAGTAAGAGAGAGAGAGAGAGAGAGAGAGAGAGAGAGAGAGAGAGAGAGAGAGAGTGAGAGAGAGAGAGAATGAGAGAGAGAGAGAGAGAGAGAGAGAGAGAGAGAGAGAGAGAGAGAGAGAGAGAGGGAGAGAGAGAGAGAGAAAGAGAGGGAGAGAGAGAGAGAGAGAGAGTTGCTGCATTTTATTTTGAACAAATTTATCACTTGAAAGTAAAAGTTCTAGTAGCTTCAGAGCTTTCGCTTTTCTTTTTCTTTGACCAGGTCATCTTGCGAGCTACTCAAACTTATAAACATCTTTGCAATACAATGTATTGTCATATACCCGCTATCCGTCGGGATCATGCATTGTGCTTACAACAGATTTGTTCTCTCTCTCTCTCTCTCCCCTCCCCCCCCCCCCCCTCCTCCTCTTAAAGGGGAAGTGCATCGATTTTTCGAGTAGGGTCCAGAAGCCTTACAATTTGATATCGGTTCGAATGGCATATCTCTCGTTTCCATACGAAAAGCCAAACTCGTCTAATCGCCAATTGTATACTCACGTTGCCATAGCGACCAGCGCAGTGATGGCGTATGAAAGGCTTAGCTCCACCACAGAGAAGGTCGATCACTGCAGAAATTGGTCATTTTCAATTGGTGTATTGTATTCACGTAGTGAAAGAAGTGCTGTGTTCAGTGCTGTTAGTGCAGTGAACCGTTTGTTAGTAGTCCTCTCGGTTGTGTACTGGGACGTGACACCGACAGGAGAAAGCTGGAGTGCGGAGACATCAGCAGACAAGCGAAAATAGTGACAAACAAAATGCTGAAACTTGGTTGGGAAAAATCAGACATTCAGCATTTACCCCAACCAAGGACCATGCCGTTTGCTCTTTCCACTTCCTGAAGACGGATGTGATGCTTCCTGGCGACTCTCCTATCTCTCGTAACATCTTCTGAAGCCAGGTGAGACGACGGGTGGTGGAGATTGACGAATGAAATAATGTCATAGGTTTGAAAGTTTGCTGAAAATGTCTCAGGAGAGAAGGCGAATATCAAGCATCTTCTCCTGGAGTAAAACATTTCCTAGGCAGAGTCAGCCTAGGGAAATGCAGGAGAAGGCCGATAAACAGTTCACGGCACTAACAGCATTGAACACAGCACTTCTTTCACATCATGAATACAATAAACCAATTGAAAATGACCAATTTCTGCAGTGATCGACCTTCTCTGCGGCGGAGCTAAGCCTTTCATACGTCATCACTGTGCTGGTCGCTATGGCAACGCGTGTATACAATTGGCGATTTGGCAAGTTTGGCTTATGGTATGGAAGCGAGAGATATACCATTCGAACCGATATCAAATTGTCTTTCTTCTGGACCCTACTCGAAAAATCGATGCACTTCCCCTTTAACATGCATACATGCACGCACATGCACACAAACACATACACACACACACACACACACGAACCGGCACACACCCACCCACAAACACCCACCCACAAACACCCACCCACAAACACCCACCCACAAACACCCACAAACACCCACCCACAAATACCCACCCACAAACACCCACCCACAAACACACACACACACACATTAGGCTTACTGGATGTGAATAGTTGCTACCTAGCGAGGCAAAGGATACGGTGGTTGGTAATCATGGTGTGTTGGTTCATTGTCCATTGGCGCATTCAAGCAGTTTGTGTTCTATCTGTTTCTTGTACTGTGCTTTGCTTATTGCTGTGCCCAGGATGTGCTGCTGCTCTGCGCAGTCCCAGTGAACTCGAAGCAGCAGAGCAGGAGGCAGCCCGTTTGGAAGGTACGGCCGTCATCAACTTTCTGCACGTGGCAATACTTGGCGAGGCACGCGCTGGGAAAACCAGCTTGCTGAAGGCGTTCATGTGTGTGTGTGTGTGTGTGTGTGAGAGAGAGAGAGAGAAAGAGAGAGAGAGAGAGAGAGAGAGAGAGAGAGAGAGAGAGAGAGAGAGAGAGAGAGAGAGAGAGAGAGAGAGAGGGGGGGGGGGTAGGGCAGTGTAGTGCGATAGGGGTAGGGCAGTGTAGTGCGATAGGGGTGGGGCAGTGTAGTGCGATAGGGGTAGGGCAGTGTAGTGCGATAGGGGTAGGGCAGTGTAGTGCGATAGGGGTGGGGCAGTGTAGTGCGATAGGGGTAGGGCAGTGTAGTGCGATAGGGGTAGGGCAGTGTAGTGCGATAGGGGTGGGGCAGTGTAGTGCGATAGGGGTGGGGCAGTGTAGTGCGATAGGGGTGGGGCAGTGTAGTGCGATAGGGGGGGGGGGGGGCAGTGTAGTGCGATAGGGGTGGGGCAGTGTAGTGCGATAGGGGTAGGGCAGTGTAGTGCGATAGGGGTGGGGCAGTGTAGTGGGATAGGGGTGGGGCAGTGTAGTGGGATAGGGGTAGGGCAGTGTAGTGCGATAGGGGTAGGGCAGTGTAGTGCGATAGGGGTAGGGCAGTGTAGTGCGATAGGGGTGGGGCAGTGTAGTGCGATAGGGGTAGGGCAGTGTAGTGCGATAGGGGTGGGGCAGTGTAGTGCGATAGGGGTGGGCAGTGTAGTGCGATATGTTTAGGGCAGTGTAGTGCGATAGGGGTGGGGCAGTGTAGTGCGATAGGGGTGGGGCAGTGTAGTGCGATAGGGGTAGGGCAGTGTAGTGCGATAGGGGTAGGGCAGTGTAGTGCGATAGGGGTAGGGCAGTGTAGTGCGATAGGGGTAGGGCAGTGTAGTGCGATAGGGGTACGGCAGTGTAGTGCGATTGGGGTACGGCAGTGTAGTGCGATAGGGGTACGGCAGTGTACTGCGAGTGGATTTTCCCCAATTTCTTTTCCATTCATCTCGCCATGAGCGGGCAGTCAGCCGAAACGCTGAAGCTGCTCTGCAGTCTCCCCGGCATTGAGCAGACCATCCTAACCCAGTTGCAGGCAATCACGGCACACGTCAGTGAGTCAAGAAACCGAGAAGCGTGCCTAAAACGGCGACTTAACGAGCTCGCAGCCCAAGTAAGAGTATTACCAAAGAAATCTGAGCCCATTGATGGAGCCAGGGACACTATGATTGGCGACAACCCAAACGTATCATGTGACCTTCTGACAATGGGGATCACTGCGGGTGTGTTATCTAATTGCCTAGAAATCTATACTGGAAGACCAGTAAGGTTAAAGGGGAAGTTCGGTGAAAAATTTAAATTTCAGGGTCGGTAGAGTTTTGGGCGCTGAGTCGAATGGTGTTGGTCCCACGTGTCTCCGACAAAGCGTTCTCGAGATATTTCCGTTTGAAAAACTGAGTTTCGGGGGGCTGCGCCATGACGTCATGCGGCCGCGCCACACCCTCCGCAACGTCATTGCGTGCAGCTAGGTCAAAAGGAGTGCGTGAAAGCAATAGTGTCAGTGCTATTTCAAATGATTTGGCGACTGATATTAGGTGGTGCAAGCGACCCCGAAGACCTAACTCTTTGTGAGAGTGAGGATGCAGCCATGGCTGACCTTCATGAGTTTGGTCTGGGGCTGAGAACCTCGGTATCCAGCTGAAGAAATGGCCGCGCGGGCCGGTCAAGAGTGAGCGCTACTGAGTTTCCGACTGATGAAGAAGCAGCAGACGAGGCTGATATAATTATCAGATCGCTGGAGAGCAGGGTCGCCAAAATGGAGAAGAGTTATGCGAGTACTCTAAATGTTGTTCCATACCGATTCGCTTAGACTCCAGTAGCCTGGCACATGGTGATGTTTTGGTGCGAACTTGGCATATTTCGGACTACTCAGTGCAGGCTCTTTGAACCACGGGCACGACTTCGCTCGCAACGCTATGGAATCTGAAAGTTCTAGGTCCGGGAGCTGTTCGCTGTTTTGTCACTTGTCACGGTTGTGCACTCACTCATCGCTGTAGCATAAAATAATGAGGCGGGACTGGAGCGGAAAACTAACATTTTCTTTCTCCAAGCACAACCACCGGCACCGGCAAGGAGAAACGCACGTTCGCTGACTACATGACTGTACAATACGACTGATACGAGTGTAGTACATGACAAGTCCGTGTGTTGTCTGTTGACTAGTTTTCTGAGTCTTGTGTCTCGAGTCTTGTAGCTAGCAGCACGGCAGTGCGGGAGTAGTTCCGTGTGATGAGTTTGTTGACTGCACTACAGCTAGCACGCAGCGCCGTAGAGGCCATTGCATGCTGACGGAAAAGTCTAACTCGGAAACGGCTAAAATACGGTATAACCTCGGGGTTTACCGAGCTGAAAATTACAGGGTACGTAGTGTTTGTAACACTGAATCGAATGGTCTTGGTCCGAAGAAACTGCGACAAACGGTTCCCTAATCGAACGTGCTCCGAATATGGCCATTTTGTACACAACTAGATGGTGTGGCTACCTAGCTGCACGCTGTGACGTCATCACCTGGATCTGGGTGATGTGCGCTCAAATTCGCACATGTTCGATTGGGCGTATCTGACGAACCATAGGCCGCAGCCTCCTCGGACAAAGACCATTCGACTCAGCGACCCGAACTCTACGGACTGTGAAATTTAAATTTTTCACCGGACTTCCCCTTTAAGTTGTTAACGAACATTTAATTGTAACGAGTTAACGAATTTGAAAAAACGTTACTACTATTTGATATACTCGTTTCACCCCTAATTAATTGTACTGTCTATTATGTTCTTTTTTGGCCCAGACGAGCCCACACGAGACCAAACGAAGCTTGCTAACACCAGCACGAACAGTACACTACTTGCTATCATGGAGTGTGGCTGGTGCACTGTTCTTGCTCATGTTTTCTAGCAGTGTACGGTCTCGTCTGCTCCGAAGAAGAACGTAATTATTATGCCAGCAATTCTTTTTTTATAAATATAATAGGATTGAGAGAACTTCAAAATTCAAAAGATCTGACGGGGAAGTGAATTTTTCTGAAAAGAGAAAGAAAAACAATGGAGAGAGAAAGAAAGAAAAATGCCCCCCCCCCCCCCCCCCCACGACTTTCAGCCGGTACCTTGCTAGTCATGAGCCATGCTCTAACTGGGGACGGGGAAAAGACCCAACTGCAATCAGTGCAATGTCATATATGTGTGGCACGTGTTGTGAGCTGCCTTTGGAGTGAAGTGCTTGTCAGCCCCTTCTAGGTTCAGGCTGGTCCCGTAGCTCAGTTTGTTAGAGCATTGCTCATGAAAAGCAAGGTCCCGTGTCTTGGTGGGTTAGCATTTTTTTCTCTTTTCAGGCAGTTGACTTCCGGCTGAACTTTCGAAACATTTATTGTTTTGCCTTTCCTGGAATGTTCAGGGTATTTCGCACACAATATAGAATGGGGTTGATGGTATGCCTGAATCCCCTCCCCTTATGTGAGGCAAAGGCCTGTGGAGAATCCATGAATACAAAATACAAAATGCCTCGAAACACTTGACACGGATTTTGGTCACACACTTTGCTTACATGTTTTTGTATATGCTTGTGTTCGTTCATGCATGTGTTTGTGTATGTGTGCGTCTGAGCGTTCTTGTATATGCCGGTATGCATGTGTATGTTCATGCGTGTGTGTGCATATCGTTGTTGTTGATGATGACTTTCAGCAAAACGAGGTGCGCGTCTGTCCAACAACGCCATGCATGAAGCTACAAATATGACACTAAGCAGCGGTTTGACCAGAGTACGCCGTATCCGCATCAGCCTCTGTGGTCAGTTTGGAACCGGCAAGACGAGCCTGGCGGATTCGCTCAAGAACAAACAGTTCATGGACAAGAGGGCAAGTACACCGGCACTTGCTGTTGATCATGGCAATGTGCTCCACGGATCAGGAAACCTGACGGATTGGGAGTTCAATGCTGCATTCCTCTATACTCCGGGCATCCTTGTCCGGGCTGAAGATCTTGAGAAGAAACACCAGCAACGGGAACAAGAAGCGAAGCGAGCTGGGCCTACAGGCCTCCAGCGTACGGGAACAGCAACGCAAGAGGCAGCGTTTCCAGCTGCAAAGCAAACGTTAAAACTTGGCAAAGGTCCAGAAGCAGCACCCAGCTCAGCTGAATTGACACAGAGCCTCATCGATGTCATCTTGGAGAACCAAGAGCTGATGCGAGACATTGGAGAAGAAGAAGTCGTGGTGTCCATTTGGGATTGCGGCGGCCAATCAATCTTCTCAAGCCTGCAGCATTTCCTAATGGGTAAAGATTACGTCATCTATATTCTCTGTTTCAACGCCTCAGAAAACTTCCAGCTCACCAAACAGCAGAACTACTGGAAGTGGTCAGGGAGTACACTGTCTGAAATGACTCTGGACGTACCGGAGGAGCTGGAGAACATCGACCACATTCGGCACTGGCTAACAGCCATCCACTTTGCCAGCAACCCAGGCAAGGCTGTGGAAAGCGAGGCGTTTGACTACCCGCCTGTGATATTGGTGGGGAACTTTGCCGACAAGCTGTCGACAGATAGGACACTTTCGGAGCACAAGGTTGATATCCTCGAGAAGCTAGGAAAGCTCTGCCGCCGGTCACCAACTTTCCAGGGTATGCTTAAGAGAAAAAACATTGATCCCGCAGGGTTGTTCCTTGTGGACAACCACGAGTCCGGAGCTTCTCAAGAAGTTCGAGGAATCCTAAAGAAGCTACAGGGTGCTGTTTCATCGGTGCTGGCAAACAAGGAGATTCCGACGGAATGGGTTCGCTTTGAGATGATAATGGAGTATCTAAAGAAACAACCCACCCACACTGGCTACACAACACGAGACTCGATGAAGACACTGGTGGAGAAGGCCTGCAAGATCCGCGATGACTTCGGCATGGACGGTGCTCCATCCGAGTTCGAGCGTCTGCTTCGGTTCTACGACGACCTACGTGTCATCATCTATCGGCCGGCAGACAAGAACTCGCCGCAGCCTGATGACATCATCTTCCACAACACACAGTGGCTCATCAGGCAGATCAACGTCCTCGTCTTTGGCCATATGTACCCGGTCGAACCGGGCGGAGGTGATGGCTGGACGGCAAAGGAAGCAGGGACAGCAGAAACGGATTGGCGCAACTATCTGTGGTCAAAGGGTATAGCACGCTGGCAACTAATGAAGTGTGCCTGGGAAGCAGTCAAAATAGAAGTTCGAAACAAGATGCTGGATGTGATGGTCGACTGGGATTTGCTGTACAAATTCGGAGACGCCTCGGATGCAAAGTACTTCATCCCATCAGCTCTTCAACGTCGCCCGCCGAAGAAAATCGAGGAGGCCCTGCGCAGCTTCCAGCAGGACAATGAGCCGAACGACGTCTGCTTCTCCACAGCTGACACACCGTTGCTGATCATGGTTCAGCCACCAGGCAAGCATGAGGAAGACCACCTGGACTACAATGATCCCGGCGCGGACACACCGATGCCACACAGCTCCTACTTCAAGCTACTCGTACGGCTCATGAGAAAGTGGAACATCACAAATACCGACCGGAGTCGCTGTGAGTTCACCTACAACACAGCCAGGTTTCGGCTGTGGTTGCCGGAGCAGTTCCCAGGCAAGGTCAGTGGCGGATCCAGGGGGGGGGGGGGGGTTCCGGGGGTTCCATGGAACCCCCTAAATTTTGCAAAGTGTGCGGCTGAGAAATATCGAAAAATATCATGTGTGCACGAAAGGACGTCCGTCCGATCACAGTCAGTGCACTGCTGAGTGCAGTCACTGAGTCAAGGAGCACAGACTGTCAGTCAGCAGGTCAGTGCACTGCATGCGCGTGCGGTAGATCGATACTGTACGGATAGTAGTCTGTACTGGTGTTCACGTCCGTGATTTACAAACGGACACTGTACTGTACTGTCTGTAGACAACATTGGGTGGTTGTTTCCTTTTTGATCTTTCGAAACGATCCAAACTTACCTCCATTGGCGCTGTCATTCACTGCTGCTCAGGATCGGTGTGGTGTGGTCAGTATTCCTTGGACAAGTTTTTTGCAGAAGAGAAAGGATGTTCCGAGTACTGACACTCTTCAACGAACTTCGAACCGTACACGTAGAGTTGAAGCTCCTCAGAATAATTATAATAATCTTTATTTCAGGATTACCCAAAGGCTGACGCCTATCAAGATGAGGGCTCCGACATCCAAGCAAAGTCAGTAATCTCTACCTGCTGCAGCATGCAGTAGTGACTAGTTGTTCCTCCGCAGGAACGGAGTGCTGCGCCAGATGTGTTTCAGATGACATTGGAAGGATTGTACAATTGTCGACACTGTTCCGCTATTGTTGTTTCTGTCACTGAAGTGAAGACGATGCTCTTGTCCTGTGACTATAGAGCATTTCGCATCGTAAAAATGCCAAAAATTTCCGAAAGCACAAATGGACAGGGAAAGTAACTTAGTTGTCATTTCGGCACTCCTGGCTCTCAACGTACCCATGCCCATGGCTTGCATATTCGATCTTTACAAGAAGTTGAAAGGGTCTTCCGTACTAAATAATATACAATGTAGGGTACGCAGCAGCATTTGGCCCTGTACAGGTTTTCCATCGTCCACCACACCACAACTGAGCTCCGACTCAGTCTCCAGCGATGGTGCAGTGGTGGTGTGCTGTGGCAACGTGTCGAGGCCGGCTGGAGAGCGCAGTTGTGGTGTGGTCGATGATGGAAAAATATAATAATTATTATGTTCGTAGTGTGTTTTAAAAGCATGCGATTCCAACTAACACAATCGGATTGTCGTTATTACAAGTGTCAACCGCACATCTGATTCCATGATATTTTGCCTGTTCAATTTTGGTTCAACCCCTGAAGGTGGATATCTTCTTGGCTCACTACGACTCGTCAGGTGCAATGCTGGTCAGCGTCAACTTCCGGTGCTCGCCTGACTGTGCTGCTAGCGACTCTAACTGGCTGCGTCCGATCTCATCGATATGCCAGTATATCCGCAAGGTTATCATGGAGGAGTTGGGTAAGCTGGAGAACCCGAAACTGGACAAGCCAGTCATGTTCAGCTTACCACTACCGCCAGTGTGCAAATGCAAAGCACAGGAGTGGAAGGACTACAGCAGCGAAAGCCGGGACCTCGGATATGCACCGTGGCGTGTACGCTACAGCGAATCCGGTGCTCTTCACGATTCGTTCTGCAACGTGTGCAAGTTGACCTACAGCATGCCCAACAACTCAAACTGCTGGTTCAAAGCTAGTAGTAGCTTTCAGGTAAGAGATGAGACCAAAGTCTAAACATTCTAGTGACCATGGAGTTAATTCACTCACTCGCATTCCGCCGATCAAAACCCCAAAACGAATCTGCTTCAAGTTGAATACAAATTGTCAGAAGGTTTTGTGCATAAGCTCAAGTTTGAACTGAAGGAACGAAATATGTTTAGTCTCGTAGGACCCAAGAAATCGCGCTGCAAAGCGCTTTTGGTTGAGAATTTTCTTGAAACAATTGTTGAGGTTAGGTCTATATAAGGCAAAGTAATGGTGTAAAATACAAGACTATGTCCAGAGCATTGCATATGTGCAATTTTATCAATTGTCAAAATGGCCGCACATGAGTCCTGTCGGAGCGCTAGAAACTCTGTCCAAAGTGAATTTTGACCATGGCACATCAATCGTGATGAGGTCCTAATGTTTTTCTCAGCCTGCCATGGTTGTGGAATGCAAAATTCCATACTCCGTTTCCATGGTTACCATGGGCTATTGCCATGTAAAACTGTAATATGCCTTGTACAATCACGTCTAAAAAATGTTGGACTCCTTCATTAGCCCCTTAGAAACAGTTTAGGGTCAAGGGTTAAGTCAATGTTAGAACAGAGGCCGTGCAGCATATCTGTGTATGATGGTCCCGCCGGTAGGACCGAGGTCTATGCAAGCTATCATTAGGGACTCCATTCTTTGAATTACATCTTTACTTATGCCTTTTCCTTGAGAGTATTTATGGTGTGTGTGTTTGGATGTGTATGGTATACGCGTGCGAATGGGAATTGGTACCTGTACACGTGCAGCTCGAAGGACAGCAGAATGCTGTAGCGAGGAAGCAAGTGGCAATCTGGGAGAAGAAAGCGGAGATTGCCAATGATGAGTCACTTCCTACGGTTAGTCACGTCTGTAGAAAAGTGTAGAAAAGTATTCCATTTTTAAAACCTTCCAAGGACGACGAGAACATAGAGCATTTTTTGGCCCGGACACGTGCGTGCCGGTGTGTTATTGTGTGTGCTCGCCTTGGGCCTTGAACCTCGGGCGCCCATCAGTGATCAGGATGATAGGGGCGTTGAGCAGAGCAGAAGCGGGAGTACTCTCACGCACATAACAGTTACTCACGCAGGCACGTGCATGTTTGTTCGTGTGTATATGTACTTGTACAATGGAAATGAGATTAATAGTAGGATAAGCAACGTGGTCATTCTCAATAATCATGTATCTACACATCATCAAGCAACAATCTGTTGGTTGTAAGAACTTTTTCCTGTGACAATCTTCAGTTTGAATACATCACTGAGTGGTGATCTAAGAATGCCGAGTCCTCCGGTGAATATCCGGGTATATTAAAAATAGGCTTGTTCTACCGCTGTACCGGGCACCCTGCCGGCAAGTTTCAGTTGAAATACTACCCTTTCGCCAAATTTTTAAAAATAATAATTTTAAAAATTTGGTTATGTTGACGTTTACAAAAACCAGAGAGAGAACATTCTAAATGTAGCGTTGACATTAGAGTGAGATTAAAACATTAAAAAATTTGACGGGTTCGCGTACCGGGAAGGTCAAGAACAAGGAGTCGTACAACTTCCTGGTCAAGAACCACCTTTCCGCTTCCGTGGGACGCCACCACCCCATGATCAGGCGTCAGATGCAGATGCAGAGTGTGATTTACGCATGTGTAACTAAAGAGCGAAAGAGAAACGGTGGAAAAAACCAACAGTGATAAGCAACACACAGCTACGGTGCTAAGGAAAGTCTGTGGTATTGTGACGTAATCCTTCTGAAGGCATACGTCTGGTTTCTGCTCGTGGATGTAGACAGATGATTAATTAGAATAATCACCCGTCTTGTCTTATTTAAAGTGTCTCCTCGTCGACACTTGTACTTGCTCGCTGCCAGAAGCTGGTCACGTTGTATCTCCCTTGTAGACGGGAGAGATATTGGGTTATTTGAACCATGATTCTATTTGCTGTTTGTATGGTTCCCTTCTGCGCCCCAATTTGTGTCGGTATCTGACAAGTCTTTCAAAGAGCAAGTCTACGGTACGTCAGGGTGAAAATAAAAACTCCAATAGCTGTACTCTTCTGGATGCTGAGTGCAATGGTACGGATCCCAGCACTCAGATGTACTCCCTCTGTGACCTATTCACAGTGGTGCAGATTTATTCCTGGACTTGTAGCATGCAAAGGCAAATTTGTAGGATGTCAGCCGGCTGATTTGAAGAACTGAGATTATTATAGTGTTCCCTAGTCGGACATGCTCCAGTTGTCTATGTTCTATAGGCCGTCCAAGTGCTGACGTCACACTGACTGAAAACTTATAGTTACACATAGCTACAAGGCCAAATGGTGACAAGTCGCGCGTCACCTGCGCTTGTCGTGTTTCCAACGGTCACGGCATGACTTTGACTGCGGCTCGCGCTCAAGCAAGATCGCGAGTTCAAATGATTTGTGTTAATTGTCTTCGAGAAGTTTCTCCTTCGCTGTCAAGCCATCATGCAATGTTTTCCTGCTGGTTGTTCACCAGCAGCTAAGAGGTCATATATAGGAGTTTTGATTTTCGCTGGCCGCTGCACACGGGAACGAGCACAGAGTTGACTGGTCTCAGAAGCAAAAAAATGAGCGGTAGCGGCGATAGAAATAACAGAGACACAGGTCAGCTTCAGCTTCTCCTCTAGAAAGCGAAAACTACAAACCCAGCGACAAGTAACTTAGTTGAAATAAAATAATATAATCTCACCCGCGCGTTCCCAGTTAAAATGATGCTGTGCTCACTGATCAGTTCATGCTGCCACTGGAAACACGACAAGCGCAGGTGAAGCGACTTTTGTTTGTCACCCCTTGGCCAAGTAACTACCCATTGTCGAGAAGCAGTGGCGTCAGACTTCGATGGCCTATTGTTATTTGCAATGACCGCCGTCCATTGGGTGTGTTGCTAATCGTCACCACAATTCGATCATCTGTAATTCAGTGTTTGATTCTGTGCAGAGAAGACGGCAGGTCTGTTGTGTTTATTGCTTCCCATCCACCTGTTTGAATTTTTTTTGATTGTTCATTAATTAGGTTGCTTCACGAAAGCCTGCGAAGTATTGTGTTCCATTCATTGTGTATGTTTAAAATTCTTCTGGTCATCCATTTTCTTGTTTTATTTTTCAGGAGGTGAAGAAGTTCCTTGCTGACCGTGCGGACAAGTGTCTGTGTATGCTGGCTGGAAGCAGAGATACACTTGCCGTGGCATCACCGTCGTTCGGCACTATCGAGCCGGCTGTGGGTCTGGAGTCATGGAAGCTGTGCTGCCAGTATGTCGTTGCTGGGCATTCGGATGTGATCCTGCGTGTTGCTCGGATGTGCGACACTCAGCAGAGCGAAGATGAGCTTGTTCATGATCTAAGGCGCTTCTGTGAGGAGAAACAGCGTGGCTCTTCTGAGCGGTGAGTAAAATTATAAAATAATGCTAGCACACTCACACCTTTGTTGTCCGGACCTCGAAGTTATGGACGCCTTAGTTATGTATTGGTCCACTAGGACAGCTGGTCGCCTTATCAGAGTGGTTGCCTTGACAGGTTTTCTGTATTGGTTTCCCCGTCCTGCTACACTGCTTATAGCAGTGAGTTCGGGTGAATCTTCTCCTGCCCAGCATAATAATGATACTGAGCCATACTTTCATTCACACATGAAGATGGCTACTGTTGTAAAGGCACGCTAACTTACGAGCAACGCCTTAGTGGTCACGCTGTGTGAGGACTATCCCAAGTGCATGAAAACCTGAACTGACATTCACAAGCAGTCACCCGTCACCTGTGTTTGTGTCCAGTCTGCCACTCAGGACTCAGTACTCTGGTGTTTGGAGCACCACTGTATCAGCAGAAATATTCGTCTGCAATTTTATTGCGTCTTTTTCGTCCAAGGAGCTTTTGGACTAATTTAAATGCCGGACTAGTGTCGATATATTCTGCTTTTCAATACACTCTTATGATCCATGGACGAAATTTACAACCGGACGAACTCCCTCTCTTTGGAGCTGGACGAAATTATTGACCGACAAAATTTTCTGCCAGTAAAGTTTATCAAACTGCCTCTACTGGCCATGAATGCACATAACATTTTCATGCATCTTCAATCTCTTCTTGATGCTGATTAAAAATGGGATGTTGAGCCAATAGTGTTACTTTTATAAGAAAGAAGAAAGAGCCGACAAGTATACATCTCGTTACCTTGGTGGACTGTTAGTCATAACTCGTAACTTAAACATGTAGGTCCTTTCTTCTTTCTTCTTTGTGCATTCTACTTTCAGTAGCGAAGCGGAGGCGCCAACGGCGACAAAGAAGAAGTGTAAGCCGCGCAGCATCATGTGGTGCACTGTGTTATGCTGAGCGCTATGCTAGAGCAATATTGATGTATGGAGTGTGTTATTTTAGTTGAATCCGTGTGTGTGTGTGTGTGTGTGTGTGTGTGTGTGTGTGCGTGTGTGTGCGTGTATGTGTGTGTGCGCGCGTGTGTGTGTGTGTGTGTGTGTGTGTGGTGAGTGCGTGGATGCATGCGTACACGTGTGTGTGTGTGTGTGTGTGTGTGTGTGTGTGTGTGTGTGTGTTTCTTTGTCCTTGCTTTGGGTGGGGACAGTTTGAGTTTTTTTTGCTCTCTGTAAGTCTTCCTCTCCTGACTGTTTCTGGACATAGTGAGACAGGCCTGGGCAGCCTGGGGCCTCCCCAGCCGTCCAGGATAACATACTGAGGCGGGAATATCGGCGGCGGACTTGGTCGACGATTTTTGATGTCGACACTCTTGTCGCCGTCCCGTTTTCAGATGCCTTCGCGAGGCGTTGCGAGCCCGCGAGTGGTGACATCTACAGCACAAAGAAAACGACAGCATGGAGTATTCAGCATGGGCTCTTGGAACGTACGCTCTCTGGTTGAGAGTGAGGGCCACATTCAGACGGCTGCCGCGAGTGGAATTGTTGCCGACGATAAACAAATTTATCAAATTGTACAACATCTGGAACGCTTGGAGATGGACGCCGCTGCTCTTCAAGAGACCCACTGGTTTGGTCAGGAAAACTATCGAGTCCACGGAGCAATGGTCATTGCTTTGGGTCGGCCTGTGCCTGGGGAAGGAGCGCCCAGACGGCGAGGTGAGGGCGTTGCGTTTGTGCTGAGGGGAAATGCGCTTCGGGCCTGGCGCGAAGGAGGTTGTCAACTCGTCGCAGTATCCGCTCGGTTGTTGTCCATACGCTTGAAGTTTGATCTGGCGAGTGGAGGGGTGGAATGGATGTCGCTGGTTACAGCTTATGCGCCAACATTCAACAGTAAGCGCTGTGAAAAGGATGCGTTTTATGACTCTCTGCAAGGAGTACTCAACTCAATACCGTGCACAGATAAATTTGTTCTACTTGGAGATTTCAATGCCAGAGTGGGATCTGGAGAGCCAGGTGATGATTGGAGCGCTGTGCGTGGCTCACATGGCTTGGGCTGCCTGAATTCGTCTGGAGAGGAGCTACTTCAGTTTCTGGCAATGCATCAATGCTGGATTGCGAACACCTGGTTCAGGAAAAAGCAGGAATTGAAAGGCACTTGGCAGCATCCCAGAACTAAACATGTCCATTGTATTGACTTCATCATCACAGCGCAAGGGAGCCGGCACTGGTGCACTGATGCTCAGGTTATTCGCTCGGCAGAATGTGGGAGCGACCATAGTCTTGTTGCCGCCAGGTTTAGGCTCGGCAGGGTCTTGTGGAAACCGCGGAAATCTACAAAGAGAGTACGATTTGCAGTGCATAATCTGCCCGCAGTGGTTTCGACAGATGCTGAGGGAAACCACCGGAGGAAGGTTGACGACTACCAGGAAAACATCAATGCCAAGATTGATGCAGTGGCGGACGCGGAAACGGGAGACGAGAAATGGAATGCGATGCGGGACGTGGTGACGGCGGCGGCTGCGGACACTCTCGGTCATCAGAGGAGACGGCAGCCTGATTGGTTTACGGAAAGCCAGGACGGGCTGCGGCCACTGCTGGACGCACGCAATGCATGCTACCGAACATGGATCACTAGTGGCCGGAATCAGGAAGAGTATTCGCGCTACCGTGTTGCGCGCAGGAGGGCTCGCGCTGCCACCCGAGCTGCGAAGAATGATTGGTTTGCTGCCATGGCACAACGTACTGAGAAGGGGCGCTTTGACTCGGCGCGCATTTGGGCCGGTATCAAGACCATGCAGACGGCTCGGCGAGGGCTTGTGGGTGTAACTGCAGTCGCTGTGCGGGACGAGAACGGAAATGTCTGTAATTCACCGGCGGATCAGGGCCGCACATGGCACCGCCACTTCTCCAAGGTTTACAATGTTCCAACCTCGTATGAACCTGCAACTGTTGCCACCATTGAGCAACAGGAAGTGTGTGAAGACCTCGCCGATCCACCTACTCTGGAAGAGCTTAGGCAAGCTGTGCGCCGACTACGGAACGGAAAAGCAGCAGGAGGCTCTGGAATCTTACCGGAACTGCTGAAGGCTGGTGGGGATGGCCTCATGATGGCACTACTAGACCTTGTCCAGACAGTGTGGAATGCAGAGCGGGTGCCCCAGGAGTGGGTGGACTGCCAGCTTGTCCCGATACCAAAAAAAGGAAATCTATCCAGCTGTGACAATTGGAGGGGCATCGCTCTTCTGGAGGTGGTAGGAAAGGCTGTTGCTGGCCTCGTCCAGACAAGATTGCAGCGGCTCGCGGAAGACATCCTGCCAGACACGCAGTGTGGATTCCGCAAAGGCAGATCTTGTGCGGACATGATCTTCGCGGTGAGACAAATATCTGAGAAACTATATGAACATCGCCTCTCTGGTTTCATGGTTTTTGTTGATCTACGGAAGGCCTATGATTCCGTCACCCGTAAGTGCATGTGGGAAATTCTCCGGAAGGCGGGCGTACCTGACAAGCTGGTTACCATTATCAGCTCATTTCATACCTCTATGTCTGCAAACCTGTCGATCCCGGGCATCGAGGCTGAGCCTATTGAGGTGCAAAATGGCCTTCGACAAGGTTGTTGTATGGCCCCAGTATTGTTCAATATATTCATGTGGGCAGTATTCCGGCTGTGGCAGCGTGAGGTTGCGGACATACCTGAGATTGGACTTCCCGTCTCCTCTAACTCTGGACCGTCTCTCCTTTTCAAACGCCAGAAGACTGACACAATCAACATCCATCGTGACTGTCAATTCGCAAACGATTCGGCACTTATTGCTACAACTCACCATGGTGCCACACTTGCGCTCAGCCGGTTCATGGACGTCGCAACTCGCTTCGGCCTCACCATCAACCTATCAAAAACCAAAGTAATGGCGGTCGGCTTCGGCATTTCTCCGGAGGATCGTCGTCCATTGGTGGTAGGCGGGGAAATTGTCGAGAATGTGCATGACTTTCGCTACCTGGGCTCCATCATCCATACTGGTGGCCGCACCGCAGTGGACACTCGGTCCCGAATAGCGTCAGCATCTAGGGCATTCGGAGCATTGCGTCGATCTGTCTTTGATGATGGCGATCTTTCACTGGCAACGAAGCGAATGGTGTATGATGCATGCGTGGCTTCTCTTCTCCTTTACGGAGCGGAGTGTTGGGTACCACTGAAAAGCGAGCTTGCGGCGCTGTCCGCCTTCCATCTTCGCTGCATTTCCGCAATCTTAGCCCTCGGTAGAAGAGACACCTGGGACTTCCACATCAACAGGAAGACCATTCTGGAGGCCTGGAATCGTCGAGATCCAGTGGATATTACCACACGTGTTCTTCGCCGCCGTCTGGAGTGGCTAGGCCATCTAGCTAGGATGGACGGCGATAGAACTCCGCGCCAGCTCCTGTTTGGTGCGCTCCTTCCGCCGAGGCCGGCTTGCGGTCCTCGGAAACGGTGGCGAGACTCTGTCAGAGCTGACCTCTCCGCAGTGAACATCGACCACACGGAATGGTACGACCTCGCCCAGGAGCGTGGGAAATGGCGCAGTGCGTATTCCGCTCAACCAGTACCGCGATCGGCTCAGCGTGACACTTCTGTGCTCTGCAATGTTTGCCAGCGTACTTTCGCCCACCAGAAATACAAGAATCGCCACAAGTGCCTGGCTGAGAGGAGGAAGCCCATATCTGAGCAGTCCGGCAGCCGACTATGTAATGCGTGCGGGAGATGGTTCTTGAGTGCTGGCGGGCTAGCTTCGCATAAGTGTCTCTCCAACTCGGCTGCTGAAGTGGCGTCGGTCTCGGCTGTGGCATCGGCAGACTCGGTCCGGAAACAGCGGGTTGCCCTGTCCTGCTGCAGAGCGCATTGTCTCGGCTGCGGTCGCTGCTGCAAGTCATCCCGTGGTTTCGACCTGCATAGCTGTGCTAATTTCCTGTCCAGGAAGTAGAGCGGCGTTTCTGGATCCAATGCTGAACTCAGTGCTGTCGACCCCTGCACAGGGGACACGTGACCATTTGATGGCAGTGTTACCAAGGACCAAGGTGTGTGTGTGTGCGTGCGTGTGTGTTGTTGTTGTGTGTGTGAAACTGTTTTGTGTGTGCATGTTTGTGTGCCCTGCACATGTGTGTGCACACATATTCTGACATGCGTGCATATTTTGCTGTCCAGTCAAGCGCGGGGTCAAGCACGGGGCCAGGCGGTCGGAACAGAAGGGTATGCATGGAGATCGACTGCATCAACAGCAACAAGCAGAGTGAGTATAGTGTTGTCTGTTGCTGAATAACTGGGGGGGGGGGGGGGGTAGCCTCGCCTAGGCCGTTCCTCTTTTCATGTATTACAGTCTATGCAGAGTTGAGTCACCGTGTATACATTGGTATGCTGCGGTTGATGAAATTCTAGCCTGGTCGTTCTTCGGCGCTCCATTCCTCAACACCCGATAGCAGTGTATTAGTAATGCACGAAACTATAACAGTCGGTCATGGTCTGGAGAATATGAAGAAAAATTCAAGTGACTTTAAAAAGATAAGGAGATAGCTGGCAACTTACAAGTAGATCAGAGTCGTAGTGTGTATTATATTAATTATCATTTTACTTTGGCATTCCCAACAGAGCCCAAGGTCTTCTTGCAGTGTGCCCAAGATGTGTGTCTTGGTACAGTGGTTAGTGCTTGTTATCCAAGTGCGATTGCGAACATTTACATGTACATACAGTCGGATCACTTGGTTGTAATGCTCCATCAGGCAAACGCAAACTAGGTCGTGGTAAAGAAGAAGAAAAAAACGTCGATGCTCCACTTCTCCACCACGTGTCTGTCAAACTTGGTGCGAGTGAGCCGTAAATTTTTAAACTTATTCCATTCACGAATTCTTGCATCCGGCACCAGCTTGAAAGGTCTTCACTTTTAGCATATAGTTAATTTTACTTCAAAGTATCACCTAACACAAGGTGTTGCAGCACTTTTCCTATCATCTATCATTTAGTGCAGAGTATCTGTATTGAATTGTTTCACAACTATCACATGACCACACAGGACAGCCATGTTAGTTCCAACTACACTCAACTCCTGCATCTATGGGTCACATGATGTCGGCCATATTGGTTCCAACTCCACTCGACCCCTGCCGGTATCTATAGGTCACATGATGTTGGCCATGTTTGTTTCACTGTCTACACGCCAAGCGTGTGCGCCGATGCCCCTCAAGGGGGGTTCCGGGGTCCCTCCCCCGGGAAAATTTTCAAAAATGAAGCAAAATCCTGCATTTTGAGCGAAAACGGGGGGCTCCGGGCACCCAGGAACCCATTCGGGGCACACGCCTGCAGGCCATGACCAGTTTGTGCACACATTTAGTCACATGACCAAGATATGAACACCAGTCTATAACTGATTTTCACACCAGTATCCATGGTACAGCGTGACCTGTCTAAGATGACCACTCAAGGGACCTTACAAATGTGGTTCCCGTATACAGGTGTTCTCCTTATCCAGGGTCATTTGACTGGAAATCACATCCCTTGGTCCTATCTGTATTGGTCCACTAGGACAGCTGGTCGCCTTATCAGAGTGGTTGCCTTGACAGGTTTTCTGTATTGGTTTCCCCGTCCTGCTACACTGCTTATAGCAGTGAATTCGGGTGAATCTTCTCCTGCCCAGCATAATAATGATACTGAGCCATACTTTCATTCACACATGAAGCTGGCTACTGTTGTAAAGGCACGCTAACTTACGAGCAACGCCGTAGTGGTCACGCTGTGTGAGGACCATCCCAAGTGCATGGAAACTTGAACTGACATTCACAAGCAGTCACCCGTCACCTGTGTTTGTGTCCAGTCTGCCACTCAGGACTCAGTACTCTGGTGTTTGGAGCACCACTGTATCAGCAGAAATATTCGTCTGCAATTTTATTGCGTCTTTTTCGTCCAAGGAGCTTTTGGACTAATTTAAATGCCGGACTAGTGTCGATATATTCTGCTTTTCAATACACTCTTTTGATCCATGGACGAAATTTACAACCGGACGAACTCCCTCTCTTTGGAGCTGGACGAAATTATTGACCGACGGAATGTTCTGCCAGTAAAGTTTATCAAACTGCCTCTACTGGCCATGAATGCACATAGCATTTTCATGCATCTTCAATCTCTTCTTGATGCTGATTAAAAATGGGATGTTGAGCCAATAGTGTTACTTTTATAAGAAAGAAGAAAGAGCCGACAAGTATACATCTCGTTACCTTGGTGGACTGTTAGTCATAACTCGTAACTTAAACATGTAGGTCCTTTCTTCTTTCTTCTTTGTGCATTCTACTTTCAGTAGCGAAGCGGAGGCGCCAACGGTGACAAAGAAGAAGTGTAAGCCGCGCAGCATCATGTGGTGCACTGTGTTATGCTGAGCGCTATGCTAGAGCAATATTGATGTATGGAGTGTGTTATTTTAGTTGAATCCGTGTGTGTGTGTGTGTGTGTGTGCGTGTGCGTGTGTGTGCGTGTATGTGTGTGCGCGCGTGTGTGTGTGTGTGTGTGTGTGTGTGGTGAGTGCGTGGATGCATGCGTACACGTGTGTGTGTGTGTGTGTGTGTGTGTGTGTGTGTGTGTGTGTGTGTGTGTGTGTGTGTGTGTTTCTTTGTCCTTGCTTTGGGTGGGGACAGTTTGAGTTTTTTTTGCTCTCTGTAAGTCTTCCTCTCCTGACTGTTTCTGGACATAGTGAGACAGGCCTGGGCAGCCTGGGGCCTCCCCAGCCGTCCAGGATAACATACTGAGGCAGGAATATCGGCGGCAGACTTGGTCGACGATTTTTGATGTCGACACTCTTGTCGCCGTCCCGTTTTCAGGTGCCTTCGCGAGGCGTTGCGAGCCCGCGAGTGGTGACATCTACAGCACAAAGAAAACAACAGCATGGAGTATTCAGCATGGGCTCTTGGAACGTACGCTCTCTGGTTGAGAGTGAGGGCCACATTCAGACGGCTGCCGCGAGTGGAATTGTTGCCGACGATAAACAAATTTAACAAATTGTACAACATCTGGAACGCTTGGAGATGGACGCCACTGCTCTTCAAGAGACCCACTGGTTTGGTCAGGAAAACTATCAAGTCCACGGAGCAATGGTCATTGCTTCGGGTCGGCCTGTGCCTGGGGAAGGAGCGCCCAGACGGCGAGGTGAGGGCGTTGCGTTTGTGCTGAGGGGAAATGCGCTTCGGGCCTGGCGCGAAGGAGGTTGTCAACTCGTCGCAGTATCCGCTCGGTTGTTGTCCATACGCTTGAAGTTTGATCTGGCGAGTGGAGGGGTTGAATGGAGGTCGCTGGTTATAGCTTATGCGCCAACATTCAACAGTAAGCGCTGTGAAAAGGATGCGTTTTATGACTCTCTGCAAGGAGTACTCAACTCAATACCGTGCACAGATAAATTTGTTCTACTTGGAGATTTCAATGCCAGAGTGGGATCTGGAGAGCCAGGTGATGATTGGAGCGCTGTGCGTGGCTCACATGGCTTGGGCTGCCTGAATTCGTCTGGAGAGGAGCTACTTCAGTTTCTGGCAATGCATCAATGCTGGATTGCGAACACCTGGTTCAGGAAAAAGCAGGAATTAAAAGGCACTTGGCAGCATCCCAGAACTAAACATGTCCATTGTATTGACTTCATCATCACAGCGCAAGGGAGCCGGCACTGGTGCACTGATGCTCAGGTTATTCGCTCGGCAGAATGTGGGAGCGACCATAGTCTTGTTGCCGCCAGGTTTAGGCTCGGCAGGGTCTTGTGGAAACCGCGGAAATCTACAAAGAGAGTACGATTTGCAGTGCATAATCTGCCCGCAGTGGTTTCGACAGATGCTGAGGGAAACCACCGGAGGAAGGTTGACGACTACCAGGAAAACATCAATGCCAAGATTGATGCAGTGGCGGACGCGGAAACGGGAGACGAGAAATGGAATGCGATGCGGGACGTGGTGACGGCGGCGGCTGCGGACACTCTCGGTCATCAGAGGAGACGGCAGCCTGATTGGTTTACGGAAAGCCAGGACGGGCTGCGGCCACTGCTGGACGCACGCAATGCATGCTACCGAACATGGATCACTAGTGGCCGGAATCAGGAAGAGTATTCGCGCTACCGTGTTGCGCGCAGGAGGGCTCGCGCTGCCACCCGAGCTGCGAAGAATGATTGGTTTGCTGCCATGGCACAACGTACTGAGAAGGGGCGCTTTGACTCGGCGCGCATTTGGGCCGGTATCAAGACCATGCAGACGGCTCGGCGAGGGCTTGTGGGTGTAACTGCAGTCGCTGTGCGGGACGAGAACGGAAATGTCTGTAATTCACCGGCGGATCAGGGCCGCACATGGCACCGCCACTTCTCCAAGGTTTACAATGTTCCAACCTCGTATGAACCTGCAACTGTTGCCACCATTGAGCAACAGGAAGTGTGTGAAGACCTCGCCGGTCCACCTACTCTGGAAGAGCTTAGGCAAGCTGTGCGCCGACTACGGAACGGAAAAGCAGCAGGAGGCTCTGGAATCTTACCGGAACTGCTGAAGGCTGGTGGGGATGGCCTCATGATGGCACTACTAGACCTTGTCCAGACAGTGTGGAATGCAGAGCGGGTGCCCCAGGAGTGGGTGGACTGCCAGCTTGTCCCGATACCAAAAAAAGGAAATCTATCCAGCTGTGACAATTGGAGGGGCATCGCTCTTCTGGAGGTGGTAGGAAAGGCTGTTGCTGGCCTCGTCCAGACAAGATTGCAGCGGCTCGCGGAAGACATCCTGCCAGACACGCAGTGTGGATTCCGCAAAGGCAGATCTTGTGCGGACATGATCTTCGCGGTGAGACAAATATCTGAGAAACTATATGAACATCGCCTCTCTGGTTTCATGGTTTTTGTTGATCTACGGAAGGCCTATGATTCCGTCACCCGTAAGTGCATGTGGGAAATTCTCCGGAAGGCGGGCGTACCTGACAAGCTGGTTACCATTATCAGCTCATTTCATACCTCTATGTCTGCAAACCTGTCGATCCCGGGCATCGGGGCCGAGCCTATTGAGGTGCAAAATGGCCTTCGACAAGGTTGTTGTATGGCACCAGTATTGTTCAATATATTCATGTGGGCAGTATTCCGGCTGTGGCAGCGTGAGGTTGCGGACATACCTGAGATTGGACTTCCCGTCTCCTCTAACTCTGGACCGTCTCTCCTTTTCAAACGCCAGAAGACTGACACAATCAACATCCATCGTGACTGTCAATTCGCAGACGATTCGGCACTTATTGCTACAACTCACCATGGTGCCACACTTGCGCTCAGCCGGTTCATGGACGTCGCAACTCGCTTCGGCCTCACCATCAACCTATCAAAAACCAAAGTAATGGCGGTCGGCTTCGGCATTTCTCCGGAGGATCGTCGTCCATTGGTGGTAGGCGGGGAAATTGTCGAGAATGTGCATGACTTTCGCTACCTGGGCTCCATCATCCATACTGGTGGCCGCACCGCAGTGGACACTCGGTCCCGAATAGCGTCAGCATCTAGGGCATTCGGAGCATTGCGTCGATCTGTCTTTGATGATGGCGATCTTTCACTGGCAACGAAGCGAATGGTGTATGATGCATGCGTGGCTTCTCTTCTCCTTTACGGAGCGGAGTGTTGGGTACCACTGAAAAGCGAGCTTGCGGCGCTGTCCGCCTTCCATCTTCGCTGCATTTCCGCAATCTTAGCCCTCGGTAGAAGAGACACCTGGGACTTCCACATCAACAGGAAGACCATTCTGGAGGCCTGGAATCGTCGAGATCCAGTGGATATTACCATACGTGTTCTTCGCCGCCGTCTGGAGTGGCTAGGCCATCTAGCTAGGATGGACGGCGATAGAACTCCGCGCCAGCTCCTGTTTGGTGCTCTCCTTCCGCCGAGGCCGGCTTGCGGTCCTCGGAAACGGTGGCGAGACTCTGTCAGAGCTGACCTCTCCGCAGTGAACATCGACCACACGGAATGGTACGACCTCGCCCAGGAGCGTGGGAAATGGCGCAGTGCGTATTCCGCTCAACCAGTACCGCGATCGGCTCAGCGTGACACTTCTGTGCTCTGCGATGTTTGCCAGCGTACTTTCGCCCACCAGAAATACAAGAATCGCCACAAGTGCCTGGCCGAGAGGAGGAAGCCCATATCTGAGCAGTCCGGCAGCCGACTATGTAATGCGTGCGGGAGATGGTTCTTGAGTGCTGGCGGGCTAGCTTCGCATAAGTGTCTCTCCAACTCGGCTGCTGAAGTGGCGTCTGTCTCGGCTGTGGCATCGGCAGACTCGGTCCGGAAACAGCGGGTTGCCCTGTCCTGCTGCAGAGCGCATTGTCTCGGCTGCGGTCGCTGCTGCAAGTCATCCCGTGGTTTCGACCTGCATAGCTGTGCTAATTTCCTGTCCAGGAAGTAGAGCGGCGTTTCTGGATCCAATGCTGAACTCAGTGCTGTCGACCCCTGCACAGGGGACACGTGACCATTTGATGGCAGTGTTACCAAGGACCAAGGTGTGTGTGTGTGCGTGCGTGTGTGTTGTTGTGTGTGTGAAACTGTTTTGTGTGTGCATGTTTGTGTGCCCTGCACATGTGTGTGCACACATATTCTGACATGCGTGCATATTTTGCTGTCCAGTCAAGCGCGGGGTCAAGCACGGGGCCAGGCGGTCGGAACAGAAGGGTATGCATGGAGGTCGACTGCATCAACAGCAACAAGCAGAGTGAGTATAGTGTTGTCTGTTGCTGAATAACTCGGGGGGGGGGGGGGGGGGTCAGCCTCCTAGCCTAGGCCGTTCCTATTTTCATGTATTACAGTCTATGCACAGTTGAGTCACCGTGTATACATTGGTATGCTGCGGTTGATGAAATTCTAGGCTGGTCGTTCTTCGGCGCTCCATTCCTCAACACCCGATAGCAGTGTACAGTCAGACCTCGCTTAACCGCACACATCTGTTTTCCACAAAAATATCCGGATAGGCGAGGGAACCGGATAACTGAACACACATACTGTATATGCATGTGGCATGTCAAAAGCAGTGACATCGTACATACATGTAGACGGGTCCTATGCAGTACAACTATCGTGCACAGTATGTAAAACAAGCGAGAAAAATGACAAGTGCATGCAACTAAGTCCTGTCCACATGCACCCAGCAGGTCAAGGACCTCATTTGCCGGTGCAACTCCCTGATTCTAGCTTTTGGAAGCCACATGCAACCGGATACGACGAAGCTTTTTGCACACATTTTAACCAGTTTGTACACAAAATCATGCACCGGTATGCGGATCGCGAGGTCCGGTTATGTTGTATGCATAACATATGCTGCACATCGGTAACCAGCGATTTTCTTCCGGATGGCGAGGGATCCGGATAAACGAGGACCGGATAAGCGAGGTCTGACTGTATTAGTAATGCACGAAACTATAACAGTCGGTCATGGTCTGGAGAATATGAAGAAAAATTCAAATGACTTTAAAAAGATAAGGAGATAGCTGGCAACTTACAAGTAGATCAGAGTCGTAGTGTGTATTATATTAATTATCATTTTACTTTAGCATTCCCAACAGAGCCCAAGGTCTTGTTGCAGTGTGCCCAAGATGTGTGTCTTGGTATAGTGGTTAGTGCTTGTTATCCAAGTGCGAATGCGAACATCTACATGTACATACAGTCGGATCACTTGGTTGTAATGCTCCATCAGGCAAACGCAAACTAGGTCGTGGTAAAGAAGAAGAAAACACTACGATGCTCCACTTCTCCACCACGTGTCAAACTTGTTGCGAGTGAGCCGCTAATTTTTAACTTATTCCATTCACGAATTCTTGCATCCGGCACCAGCTTGAAAGGTCTTCATTTTTAGCAAATACCGTAAAAGCCCCTGTATACGCCCACTCGAAATTACACCCACCCTCCGTGCACACGCCCAGTCAGGGGAAGTCAACACTTTTGTTTCAAAATAGCGCCCATACCTATGTATACGCCCAGGTATGCCGGCAACACCAGTACATGTACAGGTGCTGATACCCAATACTTACTGCTATCCTTATTTCAAGTATACGCCTGGTTCCAAAATAACGCCCGTGCCCTTGTATACGCCCAGGAAATCGAGGCTGCTATTCTATACGCCCGGGGCCTATACACGGGCTTTTACGGTAGTTAATTTTACTTCAAAGTATCAACTAACACAAGGTGTTGTAGCACCTCTCCTATGATCTATCATTTAGTGCAGAGTATTTGCATTGAATTGTTTCACATTTTTTACATGACAATATGGGGCAGCCATATTGGTTCCAACTCCACTCGACCCCTGCCGGTATGTACGGGTCACATTATGTCAGCCACGTTTGTTCCACTGTCCACATGCTAGGCGTGTGCGCTGGTTCCCTTCAAGGGGGGTTCCAGGGTCTGGGGGCCTCCCGCGGGAAAATTTTCAAAAAATGAAGCAAAATCCTGCATTTTGAGCGAAAAAGGGGGGTTCCGGGCACCCAGGAACCCATACGGCGCACGCGCCTGCAGGCCATGACTAGTTTGTGCACACATTTAGTCACATGACCAGGATGTGAACACCAGTCTATAACTGATTTTTACACTAGTATGCATGGTACAGTGAAACCTGTCTAAGACGACCGCTCGAGGGACCTTACAAATGTGGTTCCCGTGTTCAGGTGGTCTCCTTATCCAGGGTCATTTGACTGGAAATCACATCCCTTGGTCCTATCTGTATTGGTCCACTAGGACAGCTGGTCGCCTTATCAGAGTGGTTGCCTTGACAGGTTTTCTGTTTTGGTTTCCCCGTCCTGCTACACTGCTTATAGCAGTGAGTTCGGGTGAATCTTCTCCTGCCCAGCATAATAATGATACTGAGCCATACTTTCATTCACACATGAAGCTGGCTACTGTTGTAAAGGCACGCTAACTTACGAGCAACGCCGTAGTGGTCACGCTGTGTGAGGACCATCCCAAGTGCATGGAAACTTGAACTGACATTCACAAGCAGTCACCCATCACCTGTGTTTGTGTCCAGTCTGCCACTCAGGACTCAGTACTCTGGTGTTTGGAGCACCACTGTATCAGCAGAAATATTCGTCTGCAATTTTATTGCGTCTTTTCCGTCCAAGGAGCTTTTGGACTAATTTAAATGCCGGACTAGTGTCGATATATTCTGCTTTTCAATACACTCTTATGATCCATGGACGAAATTTACAACCGGACGAACTCCCTCTCTTTGGAGCTGGACGAAATTATTGACCGACAAAATTTTCTGCCAGTAAAGTTTATCAAACTGCCTCTACTGGCCATGAATGCACATAGCATTTTCATGCATCTTCAATCTCTTCTTGATGCTGATTAAAAATGGGATGTTGAGGCAATAGTGTTACTTTTATAAGAAAGAAGAAAGGGCCGATAAGTATACATCTCGTTACCTTGGTGGACTGTTAGTCATAACTCGTAACTTTAAACATGTAGGTCCTTTTTTCTTTCTTCTTTGTGCATTCTACTTTCAGTAGCGAAGCGGAGGCGCCAACTGCGACAAAGAAGAAGTGTAAGCCGCGCAGCATCATGTGGTGCACTGTGTTATGCTGAACGCTATGCTAGAGCAATATTGATGTACGGAGTGTGTTATTTTAGTTGAATCCGTGTGTGTGTGTGTGTGTGTGTGTGTGTGCGTGTGTGCGTGTATGTGTGTGTGCGCGCGCGCGTGTGTGTGTGTGTGTGTGTGTGTGTGTGTGTGTGTGTGTGTGTGTGTGTGTGTGTGTCCCATATGGTGCAGTGGTATGTGCAGCGATTTCCAATCGATAGGTTGCGGGTTCGATTCCCGACGATTATGGTCACACACGTCTTTCTTCTCTTTCTCAGACTCTTCCTGACTTTTCTTTCATTCTCCTGGGTGGTTACCAACAGCCAGTGCATGCCGGAGTATGTGGTGTGATGTGTGTGCGGGAAAAAAATAAAAAAGACCAAAAAGTAGGGATTCACTGGCCAGAAAAAGCCACTTTATAGCTGTGTGGTGTAGACCAGGCTGAATAGTGGCGGTCAATTGTTCAGCCTTGCAAGCTGTAGAATGGTGCAATCCCAGCACAAGTTGCTATGGCTTCTGCTGTAGCATCGCTATCATCGCCTCCGGCGATGGGCGTCCAATGGTCCAATGGTGTGTGTGTGTGTGTGGTGAGTGCGTGGATGCATGCGTACACGTGTGTGTGTGTGTGTGTGTGTGTGTGTGTGTGCGTGCGTGTGTGTTGTTGTGTGTGTGAAACTGTTTTGTGTGTGCATGTTTGTGTGCCCTGCACATGTGTGTGCACACATATTCTGACATGCGTGCATATTTTGCTGTCCAGTCAAGCGCGGGGTCAAGCGCGGGGCCAGGCGGTCGGAACAGAAGGGTATGCATGGAGGTCGACTGCATCAACAGCAACAAGCAGAGTGAGTATAGTGTTGTCTGTTGCTGAATAACTGGTTGGGGGGGGGGGGGGGAGGTCAGCCTCCTAGCCTAGGCCGTTCCTCTTTTCATGTATTACAGTCTATGCACAGTTGAGTCACCGTGTATACATTGGTATGCTGCGGTTGATGAAATTCTAGGCTGGTCGTTCTTCGGCGCTCCATTCCTCAACACCCGATAGCAGTGTATTAGTAATGCACGAAACTATAACAGTCGGTCATGGTCTGGAGAATAGGAAGAAAAATTCAAGTGACTTTAAAAAGATAAGGAGATAGCTGGCAACTTACAAGTAGATCAGAGTCGTAGTGTGTATTATATTAATTATCATTTTACTTTGGCATTCCCAACAGAGCCCAAGGTCTTCTTGCAGTGTGCCCAAGATGTGTGTCTTGGTACAGTGGTTAGTGCTTGTTATCCAAGTGCGATTGCGAACATTTACATGTACATACAGTCGGATCACTTGGTTGTAATGCTCCATCAGGCAAACGCAAACTAGGTCGTGGTAAAGAAGAAGAAAAAAACGTCGATGCTCCACTTCTCCACCACGTGTCTGTCAAACTTGGTGCGAGTGAGCCGTAAATTTTTGAACTTATTCCATTCACGAATTCTTGCATCCGGCATCAGCTTGAAAGGTCTTCATTTTTAGCAAATACCGTAAAAGCCCCTGTTTACGCCCACTCGAAATTACGCCCACCCTCCGTGTACACGCCCAGTCAGGGGAAGTCAACACTTTTGTTTCAAAATAGCGCCCATACCTATGTATACGCCCAGGTATGCCGGCAACACCAGTACATGCACAGGTGCTGATACCCAATACTTACTGCTATCCTTATTTCAAGTATACGCCTGGTTCCAAAATAACGCCCGTGCCCTTGTATACGCCCAGGAAATCGAGGCTGCTATTCTATACGCCCGGGGCCTATACACAGGCTTTTACGGTAGTTAATTTTACTTCAAAGTATCAACTAACACAAGGTGTTGTAGCACCTATCCTATGATCTATCATTTAGTGCAGAGTATTTGCATTGAATTGTTTCACATTTATTACATGACAATATGGGGCAGCCATATTGGTTCCAACTCCACTCGACCCCTGCCGGTATGTACGGGTCACATTATGTCGGCCACGTTTTTTCCACTGTCCACATGCCAGGCGTGTGCGCTGATTCCCTTCAAGGGGGGGTTCCGGGGTCCGGGGGCCTCCCGCGGGAAACGTTTCAAAAAATGAAGCAAAATCCTGCATTTTGAGCGAAAAAGGGGGGTTCCGGGCACCCAGGAACCCATACGGGGCACGCGCCTGCAGGCCATGACCAGTTTGTGCACACATTTAGTCACATGACCAATATGTGAACACCAGTCTATAACTGATTTTCACACAAGTATCCATGGTACAGTGAAACCTGTCTAAGACGACCGCTCAAGGGACCTTACAAATGTGGTTCCCGTGTACAGGTGGTCTCCTTATCCAGGGTCATTTGACTGGAAATCACATCCCTTGGTCCTATCTGTATTGGTCCACTAGGACAGCTGGTCGCCTTATCAGAGTGGTTGCCTTGACAGGTTTTTCTGTATTGGTTTCCCCGTCCTGCTACACTGCTTATAGTAGTGAGTTTGGGTGAATCTTCTCCTGCCCAGCATAATAATGATACTGAGCCATACTTTCATTCACACATGCACGCTAGCTTGCACGCTAGCTACTGTTGTAAAGGCACGCTAACTTACGAGCAAGGACGTAGTGGTCACGCTGTGTGAGGACCATCCCAAGTGCATGACAACTTGAACTGACATGCACAAGCAGTCACCCGTCACCTGTGTTTGTGTGTAGTCTGCCACTCAGGACTCAGCACTCTGGTGTTTGGAGCACCACTGTATCAGCAGGAAATTCGTCAGCAATTTAATTGCGTCTTTTTCGTCCGCGGAGCTTTTGGACTAAATTAAATGCCGGACTAATGTCGATTTGTCCAGCTTTTCAATACACTCTTATGATCTATGGACGAAATTTACAACCGGACAAACTCCCTTTTTTTGGAGGTAGACGAAATTATTGACCAACGGAATGTTCTGCCTGTAAAGTTTGTCAAACTGCCTCTACTGGCCAGGAATGCACATAACATTTTCATGCATCTTCAACCTCTTGTTTATGCTGATTAAAAATCCGATGTTGAGCCAATAGTGTTACTTTTATAAGAAAGGAGAAAGGGCTGATAAGTATACATCTCGTTACCTTGGTGGACTGTTAGTCATAACTCGTAACTTATAGGTCCGTTCTCTTTTCTACTTTGTGCATTCTACTTTCAGTGGCGGAGCGGAGGTGCCAACGGCTAGGCTACCAACGACAAAGGAACCCAAGAAGAAGTGTAAGCCGCGCAGCATCATGTGATTCACTGTGTCATGCTGAGCGCTACGCTAGAGCAATATTGATGTATGGAGTGTGTGTTATTTTAGGTGAATCGGTGTGTGTGTGTGTGTGTGTGTGTGTGTGTGTGTGTGTGTGTGTGCGTGTGTGTGCGTGTATGTGTGTGTGTGCGCGTGTGTGTGCGTGTGTGTGTGTGTGTGTGTGTGTGTGGTGAGTGCGTGCATGTATGCGTACACGTGTGTGTGTGTGTGTGTGTGTGTGTGTGTGTGTGTGTGTGAGACTGTTTTGTGTGTGCATGTATGTGTGCCCTGCACATATGTGTGCACACGTATTCTGATGTGCGTGCATGTTTTGCTGTCCAGTGAAGCTCGGGGTCAGGCGTGGGGTCAAGCGGTCGGAACAGAAGGGTATGCATCGAGGTCGATTGCATCAACAGCAACAAGCAGAGTGAGTATAGTGTTGTCTGTTGCTGAATAACTTGGGGGGGGGGGGGGGGGGGGTCAGCCTCCTAGCCTAGGCCGTTTCTATTTTCATGTATTACAGTCAATGCACAGTTGAGTCACCGTGTATACATTGGTATGCTGCGGTTGATGAAATTCTAGGCTGGTCGTTCTTCGGCGCTCCATTCCTCAACACCCGATAGCAGTGTATTAGTAATGCACGAAACTATAACAGTTGGTCATGGTCTGGAGAATATGAAGAAAAATTCAAGTGACTTTAAAAAGATAAGGAGATAGCTGGCAACTTACAAGTAGATCAGAGTCGTAGTGTGTATTATATTAATTATCATTTTACTTTGGCATTCCCAACAGAGCCCAAGGTCTTCTTGCAGTGTGCCCAAGATGTGTGTCTTGGCACAGTGGTTAGTGCTTGTTATCGAAGTGCGATTGCGAACATTTACATGTACATACAGTCGGATCACTTGGTTGTAATGCTCCATCAGGCAAACGCAAACTAGGTCGTGGTAAAGAAGAAGAAAAAACGTCGATGCTCCACTTCCCCACCACGTGTCTCTCAAACTTGGTGTGAGTGAGCCGTAATTTTTTTTAACTTATTCCATTCACGAATTCTTTCATCCGGCACCAGCTTGAAAGGTCTTCATTTTTAGCAATTACCGTAAAAGCCCCTGTATACGCCCACTCGAAATTACGCCCACCCTCCGTGTACACGCCCAGTCAGGGGAAGTCAACACTTTTGTTGCAAAATAGCGCCCATACCTATGTATACGCCCAGGTATGCCGGCAACACCAGTACATGTACAGGTACTGATACCCAATACTTACTGCTATCCTTATTTCAAGTATACGCCTGGTTCCAAAATAACGCCCGTGCCCTTGTATACGTCCAGGAAATCGAGGCTGCTATTCTATACGCCCGGGGCCTATACACGGGCTTTTACGGTAGTTAATTTTACTTCAAAGTATCAACTAACACAAGGTGTTGTAGCACCTATCCTATGATCTATCATTTAGTGCAGAGTATTTGCATTGAATTGTTTCACATCTATCACATGACACTATGGGGCAGCCATATTGGTTCCAACTCCACTCGACCCCTGCTGGTATGTATGGGTCACACGATGTTGGCCATGTTGGTTCCACTGTCCACAGGCCAGGCGTGTGCGCCGGTGTCCTTCAAGGGGGGGGTTCCTTTCTTCCAAAAAATGAAGCAAAATCCTACATTTTGAGCGAAAAAGGGGGGTTCCGGGCACCCAAGAACCCATACAGGGCACGCGCCTGCAGGCCATGACCAGTTTGTCCACACATTTAGTCACATGACCAGGATGTGAACACCAGTCTATAACTGATTTTTACACAAGTATCCATGGTACAGTGAAACCTGTCTAAGACGACCGCTCAAGGGACCTTACAAATGTGGTTCCCGTGTACAGGTGGTCTCCTTATCCAGGGTCATTTGACTGGAAATACCATCCCCTGGTCCTGGTTGTAGTGGTCCACTAGAACATGTGGTCACCTTATCAGAGTGGTTGCCTTGACAGGTTTTTCTGTATTGGTTTCCCCGTCCTGCTACACTGCTTATAGTAGTGAGTTTGGGTGAATCTTCTCCTGCCCAGCATAATAATGATACTGAGCCATACTTTCATTCACACATGCACGCTAGCTTGCACGCTAGCTACTGTTGTAAAGGCACGCTAACTTACGAGCAACGCCGTAGTGGTCACGCTGTGTGAGGACCATGCCAAGTGCATGAAAACTTGAACTGACATGCACAAGCAGTCACCCGTCACCTGTGTTGGTGTGTAGTCTGCCACTCAGGACTCAGCACTCTGGTGTTTGGAGCACAACTGTATGAGCAGAAATATTCGTCTGCAATTTAATTGCGTCTTTTTCGTCCAAGGAGCTTTTGGACTAAATTATATGCCGGACTAGTGTCGATATATTCTGCTTTTCAATACACTCTTATGATCCATGGACGAAATTTACAACCGGACGAACTCCCTCTCTTTGGAGCTGGACGAAATTATTGACCGAAAAAAGAAAAAAATTTATTGACCGAAAAAATTTTCTGCCAGTTAAGTTTATCAAACTGCCTCTACTGGCCATGAATGCACATAACATTTTCATGCATCTTCAATCTCTTCTTGATGCTGATTAAAAATCGGATGTTGAGCCAATAGTGCTACTTTTATAAGAAAGAAGAAAGGGCCGATAAGTATACATCTCGTTACCTTGGTGGACTGTTAGTCATAACTCGTAACTTATACATGTAGCCGCAATCAGTAATACAAGCTGGATCGACATTTGTGTACACTGTATTCATGTAATGTAAAACTGTGGAGACAATGTGCAATAAAACGAAGAAAAAATGTGAAGAAATTGTGTAGAGAAAAAAAGGGATTCAAACATGTTTCGTACAACACTCATCAGGAATCTTCGTTGTACTAAAGGACACTGAAAACAAAATTGAACTATTATAGAAAATCTAAGTTAGAGAAATAACACTAAGAACAACAGCAGTGAAATTTACAAGTGTGAATTTTAACAATGAAAGCGAGAGCAATAACGAATGTGTGTACGAACACTAAACTTGCAACTGAAAAATGAACAAAGAAGAGAAAGGAAGAAGGAAGGACAAAGTGATAACAAATAACAGCAGTACATTACACCTAGAACATTAACGGCCAAGCTTGGCCGCACCAAACATGACACTTTACTTGAACAATTTCAACCCAATTATACTATGATTCTGTACACACAAATTAGGCGTATACAAACGCTGACAGATGGCTTCCAAAACTTTTAACTGTAGTCCATAACCATGACGACCACGGCACAATACAGTGAATGAAGAGTCGGAATACGAATTGCAACAATCAGGACTAGCCAACAGATGATTGTACACTGAAGACTTGCTACCACGAAACCTACGCACAACACTAACATGCTCACCGGCACTCTCACGATCACTACAATCGTCGCTCTCCGACTCATTGCTTCCTTCACTGTCCGTCCCATCATCTGCTTCCTCTGCGCTCTCTCTGTTATCCCGCCTGACATGGTCCATTGTTTATACATGTAGGTCCTTTCTTCTTTCTTCTTTGTGCTTTCTAATTTCAGTAGCGGAGCGGAGGCGCCACCGGCGAAAAAGAAGATGTGTAAGCCGCGCAGCATCATTTGGTGCACTGTGTTATGCTGAGCGCTATGCTAGAGCAATATTGATGTATGGAGTGTGTTATTTTAGTTGAATCCGTGTGTGTGTGTGTGTGTGTGTGTGTGTGTGTGTGTGTGTGTGTGTGTGTGTGTGTGTGTGTGTGTGTGGTGAGTGTGTGCATGCATACATGCGTACATGCGCGCTTGTGTGTGTGTGTGTGTGTGTGCGCGCGCGCGCGCGTGCGCGTGCTTGTATGTGTGTGCGCGCAGATTGTTTTAGTAGTTTTTAGTACTGTCAGTATTACTCGCTCATGTAGTGGTTCATCTGACCCGCTACAACCTCCTAGCTGGCACAATTTGCCATTGCACACATTGCTAAATGTGCTGTAGACAGTACAGTGGTGAAACACGCCAGGGGCATTGGAAGGTATCCTACATTTGTATGGCTATGAAAAGACCCACGAAAAGGCTCTCCATCTGGAAAAGGTTTTGATAAATTGTGCCAAAAGAGCCTACTGTATATCAACTAATTTTGGCTGCTGAGAAACTTTGGCCGATCTCGAATTGAAACTTTTTCGGCCGATTGGGGTTTAGACAGAAACGATCGGTAGCTGTTGCTTTCACATGCAGCCATGCCTCTTTCATGCATCATTTCCCTCGGTGACAAACTTTGGCCTGCCACTTACTTTGGCCAGTTGGTACCAAGCGGCGAAATCAGCGAAATGATATCGCCAGCGAAAATAAGTTGCTTTACAGTACAAGATTTCATTGCTCCAATAATCACTATTTAAACTTATTGTTGCGACTTTGGCCGCACCTGCCGCACCGGTTCCGATGCCCCTGCAAGCGGTCCAGCGTATCACTGCGGGGCCCGGCGATTCAGTTGTTAACCTGTTCAATGCACAGGCTTGTGTTCATCAGAAGCGGGCGCTTGCACGTTTGCAGAGCTGCATGATGGACAAAGTCCAGGCCAGGCCTGTTCCTTGTGTCGGATGTTAGGACACTCAACTCTCTCCTACACCAGGAGGATGGGGAGGGGGGGGGGGGGCTCTTGTACAGGCTAATCCTGCATGGCAGAGTTACTTGCTATCTCTACTCTGCCAGCAGATCCTGCATTTCACCGTGTTGTCACCTAGCCATTCGGAACCTAATTTATTCTTCATATCGCGCTTTGGGAAACGCTTTGCAATGCGCCGTCGAAGCTTGATTCATTCTTCGTATCACACTAGGGGAAACACTTTGCCGATATGCACTGCAACCACTGTGTGACGGCCGGCTATTAATAAGTTTAACTCCATTGAGCTTTATCGTGAAGTTGTCATTATTCTGTGTTCAGTGTATCCTGCATGGCTGCTTGCATGCTCTTTTCATTGATGTTTATGCAGTCTATGATGACCCATTCGACCACCCCGACTATGTGGCGAAAATCGACTTGCCATTGAAAGATCTTGACGGTGTCGAGTTAAGGCGCAGGTTGCAGACCAAGGGATTACTAACCAAGAGCCAAGTGCGGAGGTTGGAGAAGATGTCGAGCGAAACGGCGCATAACAACGAGATGATCGGGTGGATTCAGGACTATCATCGCGATGGATATGTTGCACTGTGCGAGATTATTCAGGAGTGGGGAGTTGTGCCAGAACTGTTGGAAGACATGAAAAACCTGCTGTAACCCAAGTGACGTGTGAAAAAGGTAAGCAATCCCTGTCACGGTCCATTGGAAACGTGCTCCTATGTCTTTCTAGTACATTCAACATGCTCGGAACGCACGTGCGTTTGGAGCCGAGAGACTTTCTGAGTCTCACTCCCTCGTGCACAGCCTGGTTTCCACTTGGTTGC